AACGTCGCTGGCGCATGGATCAATTCAGCAAGCTCTCTTAACCTTTCGTGACTTTGTTATCACGGTGAGATCACGTTCAAAGATGGTAGGCTGGAAAACCGGCCGTGCCGGCCGGTCCCTGCTGCAGGAAGAGGGCTGAACTCCAGTTTGATTAGGTCGCCTGGCCACCATTCGAGCGTGACACCTCTTGTAGTGTACCTGAAGATTCGTTAGTTATCGCCAGGTTTTATGGTACACATGTCACTTTTGCACCGTTAGTTCTCTTGTTTCTGCGAATAGGTCTACTTGTCCAAGTCCTCTGTTTTTTTTTTCAAATGCCTGGAAAACACTATCGTCCAAAAGATATCCGGTATGCGACAAAAGAGAATTTATATTGACCTTTAAGAAGATATATATATATATATATATATATATACACACCATCTTTTCTATTCTAGATCAGTTGTTAATACTACATATACCAGTAGTTTCTAAATTACGTAGATGCGTGGATGTACAATGGTCAAAAGGATATAGCATTTGTTCGTGTAGGGTGAACTTTTCTAAGAACCCGTGCGTAGAAGCTCCACGCACATACACTTTGCCTCTTATCATCTGTTGATTGTCTTATTAGCTATAGACAAATTTAATTTTTAAACTCAATTTATTTGCAGTTGATTTTGGAGTTATTTCATCATAATCTATTTTTTCCGTATTGGTTTTTAAACCACCAATAACACATAAGTAATGTTTTACATGTTACTTTCTTTTTCTTTTTTAGCTGATCAAAGTTTATTTCATGATGCAGAAAACTACAATATTAGTACACGTAGCTTGATTCAAAACCAGGTACGGTTTATGATAACAAATTAATAAGATCACATAGGTAGGAAAACTATGTGCGCCTATTTGAAGAGATCAAACATTTCTACGTACAGAAATCATCGCATTATGTGTACAGGCTGACAACTCAATTCCAAACATTCACATAACATAAAATGTATAAAAAGAATACATCCATGTGGACACAACATGAAAAAATTGAAATGGAAGCTCAATGTGTAAAATAATTCCATCTAGCTGCAACCACAGAGATGAATAGCATGATATATATAAATACCAACAAGTCAATATATATCTCCAATTTTTAAAGCATAGGCGATGATCGGTTGCTTGGAATCAAAGGATTTTATCTGCAATACGGAACAGGGTTAGGCCAACAACGGTTGAAGCTGACATGCAGATAGTACACTCTTGTGATGTATGTTACCTCCAATAGAAGCACAGCGGACGCACTCGCTAGCTAGCTAGCTCCTGAGAGAGGAGCTCCCTCTCTCTCTCTTGTTGACCACAAAAGCAATCTAACGCGCAGGAAAGGAAACGAATTAATTTTTGAAGGATAGTATATTATAGTTAATTAACCTCTGATAGGTAGTTGCTGTTACCCATGATATGCACTCGCTATCACGGGAATGTTGACTCTGTTATAGGTGCTAAGGCCCAATCGACTTAATATATACTCCTTCCGTACTTGTAAAGGAAGTCGTTTTGGACAACGACATGGTCTCTAAAACACAACTTTGACTTCTTGTTTATATAAAAAATATTTATTGAAAAGTGATATATGTATGCTTTTATGAAAGTATATTTTTCAAGACAAATCTATTCATATAATTTTTACATTTTCAAATTCAACAACTTGAGAGTTATTTATGATTTATATTTTCAAGGTTTGACTTAAAGATTGTCCTAAACAACTTCCTTTACTAGCATGGAGGGAGTATATCAGTGTGAGAGTTACACATTAAGAAAATTAATTGTGTGGTTATTAATTCAAACTAACGTTCTCGCACTCCGTATATTTATTCTTGATAGGGAGCATATATACAACACAAAATGTACTCTTTAACTGCTCCTCCTATTAAAAAAACATATTGTTTGGACATCGATACGGTTTGTACTAGCTATCCAACATATATTATACGATACTAGTGCCTCCGATCCGTTTGTTTTCAAACGTATGATCGATGTCGTTAATTTTTATATATACTGTTTGGCTGTCTATTTAAAGGTAACTTGTTTTATCATTAACGAGTGCCAATGTACTCCCCTCCTAAAAGATTATCATGACAGTTAGTCAAAGTCATATTAAATATAAGAGGTTAAAATACTACTATGTACTTCATTAATTTTTAATATGGAGAGAAAACAATTAGCATGAGGAAATTAATACTATTGTTTGATGATTAAAACAGGAAGAAGCGTATAAAGTAGTATTAAAGGTTCCGTTGAACAAACCTCTAAAACCACGATCTTTGTAGGATAACATTTTTACGCTAAAAAACAACGGTCTTTTATGGATTCAGGGAGTAGTATTTTTATATATTTACACTAAATTTCCTAACTAGCCGAATGCATGGTCAAATGTCATGTAAAAAAATCAATAATATTGTGGAGTACATTTTAAGAGAGAGAGAGTAACAGCATTATTGTATTATATGAAGGTACTTTCATGATAAATAATTTAGACATGGTTTAATTTTTCACATATCCAATTCAACAATTTGAAAACGCGTACAATATTAAAGTTTCTAAGGTTAGTTTGGGATATAAGAAAACAACATACATATTTTTGTGACGAGAGGGAGTACTACAATTTACAGAAAGGTGCATGCAGCAATATTTGGTCTCCTTAATTTCCATGCCCTTTAGTCTTTATCCAATATTCCATTAAAACAATAAATTGGGTGCAAAACTAGTGCTATATATTCAAGTTAACAGAATATTGGTAGGGCAGGTTTTAGCAGCAATCCTAAAACGGTCCTAAATGCAACCATTAGTTAAGTTAATCAGCACTGTGTAATTTGCACAGTACGTTTGACAGTTCGTGTTTACTGAGCAGGTATTATATTAGGAACTGAAGATAAAAACAGATTCCGCCATAGCTAAAATAATCCAACTATCTTCGATTGATCGGCATCAAGTAGCACATATACACGTGGCCAGAGCTAGCAACTATTTCCACTTACTCCCTCCGTTTCGAAATGTTTGACGCCGTTAACTTTTTAGCACATGTTTAACCGTTCGTCTTATTCAAAAAATTTAAGTAATTATTAATTCTTTTTCTATCATTTGATTCATTGTTAAATATATTTTTATGTAGGCATATAATTTTACATATTTCACAAAAGTTTTTGAATAAGACGAACGGTCAAACATGTGCTAAAAAGTCAACGGTGTCAAACATTTAGAAACGGAGGGAGTATAAACTGCTATACATAGGAAAAAAAAGCACTCAAAACAGCAAGACATATAGGGAAGTAGCGGTATGTAGTTACAACTCAACCTACCTAACTGAGCTTAATTTAATCAATTAATTATTAAACCGGAGACAGACACGATTAGATAATAAATTACGGGATTGACCAGGTAGGTCGAGGCGCCCAACCAGCACAGGAAAACCCGTAACAACTAACTCGCTGTGGCTCTCCTCGTCCCCTACAAGCTGAAAATTAGCTAGGGTTGAGCAAGATTATGAGTAAATTAGGCTATCTGAACCGTAGAAGAACTTAACCATTCTAGGCATGATCAGTGCTCGTGTGTCTAACTGTTCCAGAATTGAAAAACATTAATGTAAGAAGATAGTATCTTGCTTGTGTAGACTCAGTCTCATTAATTATATATATTTGCCAATATGTAATATATAGATAGATATACTTTGTCGCATGGTTTGTTTAACTAATTAATTTGTTCTTGCTAGCTAGTGCATATATATGGATGGGTATAGTACAGGCACAGGGCATCGTCAATAGTAGTTCTGAAAACTACTGATAAAATTAACTAACAAGACTAATATTCTGCGCTGAGATCATTAATTGACATATAAGGATGCTCACTGTGTACTCAACTTGAGGCATAAAATTGGGTCTCCCAGTGAAGGAAACTTAATTTATTTTAAGGCACATGCAGCCATAATTAGGTGTCGAGTTACATTTTGGGGGAGGGAAGAGTGATTGGGTTGGTTAAGTAGACGTTGTAGGTTTGACAACATCAGAGAGATGTTGAGACCTGAACAACAGAATTCCCCCCACCAAGCAAACCCTACTACAGCGCATGCATCCATACATGCTGCATCAATATATCCATCTTAATTATATTTTCCCTGGCCTAATCTATCCCAAATTAATCCTGAAAATTATTAGGTGCACCTAGTGAAGAATTTTCCCTTGCACACAAAGATCGACAGAGCTAGCAGCTGCAGCTTGTGAAGATCGATCGACAATAACAAATGATCTTTCTGAAAGGTACATACAGATCATATTTAGGTAACGGATGAAGCAGCTTAAATAATAAGCTAGCAACAGAAGTAGTAGTAGTACACAGATCATCGGTTGAACTATATATTTGGTTGATACCAAACATTTTTACCAATTAGCTAGCTATACGTACTACTGTAATCTGTTTTTAGTTAACCCTTCCCTTAAATACTCTGATGACATATATATATTTTCTACGTACTATACTACTACTCATGTAGTTCCTCAATTGTCATGGGTAGTTGCATGCATGGCACCAACATGCATGCAGAAATCATGCATGCATGCTAGCTTAATTAGGTTCTGTAAGTATGCAGTTTGTTGAACAATTTGTGTAACCGGAGAGGAGATATAGGTAGTTAGTTAATTAGTTGATCTTGTGTGGACCTACACGGCGTGCGCAATAACTGACATTTTTCTATTATAGTTGCGCGAGAAGCTTAACTTACAAAACCACCAGTTAGCCCACACGTAGCATCAAACTAACCTGGTGTAACCATCTCCCATCTCACTGTCTTTAGCTTCTCCCTAACGATCAGCACAAGTGCACAACGATGGAGAGATGTAGCTAGCTAGCTTATAGCTAAAAAAAAAAAAAACTGCCCAACACAAGACACCACTTTCCCTTTGGCTAGCTAGATGCTGGCCTCCTGTCGTTCTATATATTCCCTTGGCCATCGTCTCTCTCTTGCCTTCTTCTTCTCACCCTATTGGTAGCTCCTGATTTAGTTTTTTGCTTCTCTTCTTCCTCCTCTCATCTGCATCTCCAGTGGCCCAGCCTCGCATCCGCGGCGCAATCGTTTATATATATGTCTTGATCGATCCCTCGCATCCGCGGCGCAATCGTTTATATATATGTCTTGATCGATCCTCGTTCTTGATCCGTTGTCTGAATTAACCCCCTGAAACTAGCTAGGAGATTCTTTTGTTGCTGCAGCTTATTTCCATGCTGCAACTTTAGGAAGCTATTACACATATATATATACTTGATTGAGAGATACAGCTAGTTGCAAGATTATAGCAAAGCTAGAGAAAGAGGGGGTTGAGAGGGAGATTGGATTTGCTTAATTTGTTACATATTCTGGTGATCGAGATCGATCGATCGATCGATCGATCGGGAGGATGTGCACCAGGGGCCACTGGAGGCCGTCGGAGGACGAGAAGCTGAAGGAGCTCGTCGCGCGGTACGGGCCGCATAACTGGAACGCCATAGCCGAGAAGCTCCAAGGGCGATCAGGTGTGCCATCATGATATACACATAGTAGTACATATCTACATATGCTCAAGAAATGATCAATCGATCGATTGATATATATGTGTGTTATTTACTTGAGTTCTTGATCGATCTTTGGGTTGAGTCGGTTCATTGTACGGTTTGCTTCTTCGTGGTGCAATTCATCCGAGCAAGTTTATTTGACTTGAGGCTTTGGCATGTGTTTTAGTTCGTTTTATGATCAGATAGAATTTTAATTTGTTAGAGTGTCATGTCAAAGAGGTGCAATCTACACAGTTCATCAATACATGATGTCCACTGCTCTGATGTGTATATCACATCTATATCTCTTGTAGAGCAATATATTCCATCTCTCCTGTCGAGCTAGAGCTACTACTAGAGCTAGTTACTAATTGATTTACAACCTTTCTTGCTCTCTAATTCATCCGTGCTTTTTACCTTCTCAATTTCTAGCACAAGCCTCATGCTGCAATGGTGTGTCACCAAGCACAAAAAAAAACTACATAGCGTAAAGAGCTAACCTGAAAATGACAAATAATTTTTTTTCAGGCAAAAGCTGCAGGCTTAGGTGGTTCAACCAGCTCGACCCAAGAATCAACCGGAGCCCCTTCACCGAGGAGGAGGAGGAGCTCCTCCTCGCGTCGCACCGCGCCCACGGCAACCGGTGGGCGGTGATCGCGAGGCTCTTCCCGGGCCGCACGGACAACGCCGTCAAGAACCACTGGCATGTGATCATGGCGCGGCGGTGCAGGGAGCGGATGCGGCTGTCGAATCGCCGGGGCGGCGCCGCCGCCGCCGGTGCTGCGAAAGGCGACGAGAGCCCAGCTAGGATTAGCAACGGCGAGAAGACGGCGACGAGGCCTCCTGCCACGAATGGCAGCGGCATGGCCATGGCCTCCTTGCTCGACAAGTACCGAAGAGAATGCGGCGCCGCTGGCCTGTTTGCAATTGGCAGACACCATAACAGCAAGGAGGATTATTGTTCATCTACTAATGAAGGTGTGTTTACAGTTAAACATACAACAATCTCGTATGCCAATAGTACACATTTACCATTGATCCATTAGTTCAAGTCTATAATTAATAGTGTTATTCTTAATTATCAATTTTACTATATGCTAATGGAGAATTAATTGTTTTGCAGATACGAGTAAATCGGTGGAGTTTTACGACTTCCTCCAGGTGAATGCGAGCTCGAGCGACACCAAGTGCGGCTCGAGCATTGAGGAGCAAGAGGATAACCGGGATGATGATCAAGCTGAAGGGCAGGTGCAGCTCATAGATTTCATGGAGGTTGGGACTACTTCTCGTCAATGAATTTATCCACATACATATGTGTATTTAACTAGGGGATCAAATGATCCAAAACATGCAGCTTGTAATGCATGCTTTGCAGTTTGCATGCTGTGAAAGGAGAGGGATGCTGATAGAAATCTAACACCAAAAATTAAAGTATATACTTATAGAGGAAGAGAAATGCGATGACGTACGTATATATATGACATGTAATTTATTGATGTAATTAAACACACATATATATCTGTTCGATCGTCCATCCTCGGATCGTACATGTGAAATTCCTCATGGTAAATGAGGAATTAATTATTCTCTCATCTATTTGTAAATTTCAATTAATAATATAAAATTTAATTTCTGTTTTGTTACTCAATTGCATTTTTTTATGCCGGACGGATCGATACTTGATTGGGATATAACTTATTGCAATACACCACTTCCCTACATATACTCCAAATAGTTCCTATTGGTCTAATAGTATTAATTAATATTACTACCTATATATCCAAAAGAGTGTATCTTTTAGTACTATTTAGCTAAAAGAGTGTCTAAAAATATTACTACCTAATTATCCGTTGCCTAGTACAATATGAAAATGCAGCAGCAATTTTGACATTATCAGTAATTTGATGTATAATTAACTATGTGAATACGTCCCAATTGGACATGTGATGTTGATGCCATATGTGATGGAAGCAGTCCACCATATTTATCGTCTACCATTTTGTTTGTGGATATTATATTCTGTTTATGAACATATAGTTTAACTAATTTCACATCGATCCATCATTGATTGACCCCCTGGCTATCCTAGCTTTTCTTTGTTTTGGACTTCATCTATACAGTATAACGTACGCATGTTAATTTGATTCGGAATGGAATATGGAAGATGCATGCATGGAAACTAATATGCATACTATACTGGTGACGATGGATAGTTGTTAATTTGTCACCTTTCAAGTGCACAAACTTATCCGATCCATTCACGCTTCTTTGTCGAAAAATCGCTTTTAGAGACTTCACCCGGCCTAGAGCAGTGTAACGGTGAAGCCTCCTGTTACTATATGCCATGACATGACATTTAACAAACCTGGAAGAACTTTCCCATCTCTCTCGTTTGCGGTGTGCCAAAAGGAAAGAAAGTTTAAAAAAATGTATTGGTCGATCATTTGTGATATTTCTATAAATCTATTGCACTATGTCGACGTGTCCTTTTTACTGCTTCTGTTCGAAAATGACGATAATATAGAAGTTACGTTTTTTCACTACTTTCTAACTAATTGACAAAAGAGGTCGAAACACATGCGTGTCAATTACTAGTTCTCAAAGTATTTCAAATACTAATATTGTAACAAGCACTCAAAATTTTACCAGGCATATACTCCTTCCGTTTTCAAATTAATGATAATGTTGACTATCAATTTTTCACCTTTAACCACTTTACTCTTGAATAGATAGACTATGATAATTAAACAAAAAATTATGTGCTTATATTTAGGACGCTATACATTTTTTAAGGAAAACTACAGTAATTTTTTTTAAAAGAATAACGAGTGGTCGAAGTTTAAAAATAAACAGTGACCGGTGTTAATAATTTAAAACGGGAGGAGTATAATCAAATGGTCATACGAGTGAACCACTCTTTTCTAACAATTATAAATACATTCGTAATATATCTTATAGCTAGCTAGTATACAACTATATATATACTCCTTCCATCCAAGAAAAAAACTTTAGCTAGGGATAAATTTGGACAAGTACTTGTTCAGCTAGATTCATGTCTACAAGTTGTTGTTTTTTTCTGCATTGGGTATACATCCTTAATTAGCAATATATATTAATTATGTATACTCGGATACTCCATATATACGGATATGTATATATTCATCCTTAGGTTGTGGGACCTATAATCAACCAAAGTGCTGCCCTAAAGGAGAACAAATTAATTAAGTGCACTACCCAAATTTATTGTTATCAGTTCTCCAGCGCGATCGACGACCCCAGCTAGCTAGATGCCTAGATATATAGCACACTTCCATCCATCATTCCATAAAGCTATTCATTCCAATAAAGCTATTCTTCATTCCATCAGGCCGGCCGGCAGCAGCTAGGCATGGCCACCATCTCAAGTCTCAACACAGTTAGTTATGGTGTACGTACTTACCAAGCACAGAGACGTCGGCGTCAGCAGGGCGGCGAGCTGCCGAGTCGAACTGGCGTTTCGGTCCCAAGTTAGCTAGCACTCGCAGCGCCCCCGCACGCAAGCGCGCTGCAGGCCGGGACCAGATCAATCAAAACCAAATCGCCCGATCGGGTCGCGCCCTGCCTGTGCGCGCACGACGTCGCCGTCGCCGCGCGCATGCAGCACGGCCGCGCAAACGCAACACAACGCAAAAGGCGTCGTTTTCGAACGAGGGGGGGAGAGAGAGAGAGAGAGAGGAGATTCTCCCATCCCCAGTGCGGGAGCGCGCGCGGTGGAAATGGGAGAGGCCAACTGCTTCCCCCACCACTTCGCGGCCGGCGCCGTTGTTGGTGGGCGATGTGACGCAGGCGCTGTACGATCGATATGGAGCTGAGAATGAGAGATTGTGAGAGAGCGGTTTAGTAACGGGCAAGTCGGCCGTTTCTCGCGCGATCCGGCCCGTACGTTTTTTTTCGTTATCTCGGCTCGATCGATCATGCGCGTTTTTTAGAAGAGGGAATCGGTTAATGTGGGGCATCGTGGCGTGGGGGGGATCGAGGTCAGGGGTCGCTGGAGCGACGTGGATGGGGGAGGGGCGCAGGTGGGACGTGCGCGTCGAGGGTTAATGGGGCCGTGACGTACCAGTTTGATCATCATCCGGCCGGGACGATGGGGTGTGCAAGTGCAACTTAACGTCGATTATTCCCAGGGTTTAGTTTAGTTTAATTAGGCCCTGTTTGGGACTAATCTATTAGTCTATCTATTTTAATCACTTTCAGTTAAAAAAATCCAAACAAGGGTGACTAAAAGAGACTAAGGGCCCCTTTAAATTGGAGGATTGTTATAGGAATTTTGGAGGATTTAATTTCCTAAGGATTTTTTCCTATGAAACCCTTTGATTCATAGAAAAGTATAGGAAATTTTCCTTAGGATTGCATTCCTATAGCTCAATTTCATAGGAAAATAAGCAAGAGGTTCAACCTCTTGGAAACTATCATTTTACTTTGTTTGTTTCCTATGGTGCTATCAAAGAGACCCTCTTCATATTTCCTGTGTTTTTCATTCCTATAGGATTAGAAAAACATACCACTCCAATTCCTATGTTTTTTCTATTCCTTTGTTTTTCCTATCCTACGTTTCAAAGAGGCCCTAAAAGTGCATATTGGGACTAAAATCCATTAGTCCCTCTTGGAGGTACTAAAGTGGCAGCCTCTCTCTAGAGTCTTTAGTCTCTAGATCCAAATAGGACCATAATCTTGTGGTGTGTGCGTGTATTAGTGGAAGACAAAACCCTCTCATAGCTTGCAGTGGTCTTGAAATCCATCCTACAAGAGGGCCGCTTATGGTTTTCTACAAGCACAACGTCTTTTGGGAGTCTAGTAGAACCCAACAGCCACCCTTCCCTTTTCTTAGGAGCGATTTCAAATTTAGTTCCCCCTAGCATTTTTTGGTTATTTTTTCTCTTGTGTCCTCAGGCAATGGCCGTCTGGCCGGTTGCGTCGTTTAGTTAAACTCTGTTTTCTTCTAATATATTGACGTGTAATTTTTTTGTTCGTTCGCGAAAAGAGATGATTGCATATTTGGTTCTTTCTTTATAGAAAAGTAGTTGTGTACGTTGAGACACATATCGGGTACAGATTTTGCAGGAACTACTCCCTCAGATTATTTGATCCCTTTTCCTATTAGAATTTATGTTGTCAAGCATTAATTTGCTATTCTGCAATCTTTTGTGTAGTTTTTCATAATTTTTTCCTTGATTGCCAGTTTCTATCAAAATTTTATCTTCTCTCTTTGCGTTTTTCTTTTTTCTCTCTGGTCCCGCAGAATTTTATTAATTCCTTTTATTCACATTTTATATGCTTATCTTCAAATTATATATCAGATATTGTATGGGCCCCATAACAACAGCGCATTAGGACGTTAAACCAAACTTTGGACCACAGCTAGCTAGCTCCCCAAGTACACGCTGGTGTGTCTCTAACAAAAGAAGTACACACACTTGTGCACGGCCACGTTTTGCACACTATGCACTTGCATAGTTGCATTGCACCCCACGCGCTCGCATCCGGAAGTCCGGATCACCGGAACGCTTTGCGCGCCGCCTCGACCAGACGACCACGTAAGCGCGATCGAGCGGCGGGCTCGTACGTTTCGGCCTGGAAATCCTCCGATCTGGACCTGTCTGTGTACGGCGTGGGTTTACTGGGCCGTGGTGGTCGTGGCTAAAGGAAAGAGTTTGACTCCCTTAAAAAGTCACCCGAATCTAATCCGTAGCCCTCAATCGTAAAACCAGATAGGATGACTCTCTAAACTATTCAAACTAGTGCAATTTGACTCCCTCAGCGGTTTTGCTGACGTGGCGGTGTTGACCCGATCTTCATCCCACGTGGCACTTATGTGGCATTACAATTAAAAATATTTTGTGGGACCCGTCTGTCATTTACACACAAAATATACTGTGGGACCCACATGTCATCCTTTCTCTCTCCAACCCTTCTTCCTCCCCCCTCTCTCTCCCTTCTCTCTCTTTTCTCCTGCAGCCGCACCCGCTGAACATGCCGGTGTAGTTGAACCCGTGCGCCACCTCGCCGGTGCTGGACACCACGATGAGCCCGATGAACCCTTCGTCCAGCCGTTCCTTGACGCAGTAGTCGATGGCCTCCTGCAGCCCGGCGCCCCTGTACTCCATCACGGCGGCGACGTCGCACGCCAGCGTGGAGCGTATGATGGCCTTGCCTTCCCCCGACCCGATCAACGGCGAGTCGCCGATGCGCCCGGTCATCTTGTTCATCAGCCCGCCCGTGGACATGGCCGCCGCAGTGTGGCCGTTTGAGTGCACCACTGCGCAACCCACCATCTCCGGCGTGGGATACGGCAGTCAAACTACTTGTACCAATTAATCACAGGATGTCACGGTTAGATGTTAGCAATTTTTATAGGCGAATTGGTAACATGAGTCAATGCGCTGATCGACGAACCAAGATGCTATTGGCCTCCTTGGCGAGCTTCAGCATGCCGACGTTGTCCTCGGTGATGAAGTAGCTATTGTCCACGACCTCAAGACCTTGCAAACAGTGACCACAAAGAAAAAAAATCAGACCAGTCCATGACCTCAAGATCTGCAGGACTCGGGTGGACCACGCTGGTAGGACGGATTTGTCCTGCAGCTGCTGGTCCTGCCAAAATTCGACTGGATTCCATGGCGGCCGCGCCTTGCTACCCCACACCGGCGCTGCACTTGCATCTGCTAGGCAACGCTGTGCACATGCATGTTCTCCGAGCAGAAAGAAACAGAGGCGGCACCCCCTGCCGGCGCAGACCGGGAGGCACGGCTAGGGCCGGCGGCATCTCAGGTTTCGCCGTCTACATTAGCCCTCCCGTTCGTCCCAGCCTGGCGCGGCACCATCATGGGGGAGGCCACCGGCCAGACGCCCCCGCCTTCTCCAGCGAGCTGAGGCCGTCGCCGCTCCACCACCTCTCCTCCGACTCTCTGCCGTCGCCGCCGAAGCCGCCGCTCGACCCGCTCAAGTTCCTTCCTTCGCGCCAGCCCTCACCCTGCCGCCGCCGCCGCTCCAGATTCCGCACCGAATCTGGAGGAAGAGAAACATACAGAGAAGGGAGAGAGAGGGGGAAGGAGGATAGATAAAGGATGACATGTGGGCATCGCAATTTTTTTTCATGTGAATGACGAATGGAGCCCATATAGTTTTTTATTTTAATGCCATATAAGTGCCACATCAACAACACATATCAGGTCAACATCGCCACGTCAGCAAAACCGCCATCCAAAACCACTGAGGGAGTCAAATTGCACTGGTTTGAATAGTACGGGAAGTCATCCTATCCGGTTTACTTTTGAGGGTCACGGATTAGATTAGGGTCACTTTTAAGGGAGTCAAAGTGGACTTATTCCGTGGATAAATGGGGCTTTAGTGGTGGAATGGGCTGTAATGTAGCCTGTGGCCGTCGAAAAGCTGCGTCACCGTTGGGCTTTCGCTGACGGCCTCGTAGCGCCGGCCGCCCGCTTTGCTCGCTCGTGTTGCTATCAAGTTCACGTTAGGTCCCTATATTTGTCGTCCAATCTGATTTTCATCCCTGAACCGTAAAACCGGATATAACACATCCCTCAACTTACAAAACCAGTGCACATAACATCCTAAGGCGGTTTGAATAGTGGTTTTGGCTGACGTGGCGCCTACGTGGCTGGTTTGACTAGTTCTCCGTCCCACGTGGCATTGACGTGGCGCTTACGTGGCAATTATATCTCGAAAAAATAATAAAACCGTGGGCCCACATGTCAGCTAAAAATAATAATAATTTTAAAATGGTGGGGCCCACGTTGGCCCACATGTCAGTTACAAAACAAAATAAATAGGGTGGGCCACACGTGTCAGTCTGTAGCGATTTCTTTCTCCCCACTTGACCATCTCCTCCAATCTAGCAATCCCCATCCGCGGACGGCGGTTGCTGCGGTGCTGGCAGCGCACAGCACACGGAGGGTAAGCGGAGGGGAGTGGGGGCGTGGCCAGGCTCTCGGCCTCCGGGGCGCAAAGCTGCCGCGGCGTCATCTGCTCCGGGCAGCGCCGCGGCGTGGCTAGCCGCCAGGGCCCAGGGGCTCAGCCGCTCAGGCGAGCGGCCACGCACGCGCATGAGCGTAGCGCAGGCAGAGCAGAGGAAGGGGCAAGCAGGGCGGAGGGCACAACAGCAGTGCAACCGTGCAGCACCAAGCAGCAACAACAAGCAAGCTAACTAGCCACTCAAGCAGATTGAAATTGTGAACTAATAGCTCTGTATCTTATTAACCTGAAATAATGGACTATAATTCGATGTTTGCTTCAAGAACCTACATCCACACCTTTACATACTCACCAGCGAGCGACGGTCAAAGAGGCGGGGCTGGTACGGTGGAGCCATGGTAGAGGAGCGGCGTGCGACTGCGACTCGGCGGCAACCGGCTCGCCGGCCTCCTCTTCCCCCTCTCCCGCCAGCACAGCCGGCCGCCGTGGTATCCTCCTCCTCCTCCGCGGTGGCGGCGGTGGGCGGTGTCGAGCTCCCGTCCGCGCGCCGCTGCGACTCGGCGGCCGGCGGAGCCAAGCGGAGGGCGCCAGCCTCGTCGTCGTCGTCTTCCGGCGCGCAGCGGCGCGAAGCTGGCGGGGCGGGGCGGAGCGGGCGGGCGAACGGCGGCGCGAAGCCGACGGGACGGAGTGGGGCAGCGGCGGGCGGACGCGCCGGCGGAGTCTCCTTGAGGTCGTCGTCCCCGGCACCGCCGAGACCGTGGCCAGAGAGGGGATAGGGGAGGAAGAAGAGATGGGGTGAGAATGACATGCGGGGCCCACGTGGGCCCCACCATTTTTTATTCATTTGTGTGTGAAACTGACATGTGGGTCCCATGGGGTTTAATATTTTTTTTTATCGAATTGCCACGTCACCGTCACGTCAATGCCACGTGGGATGAAGACCTAGTCGTAGGCGCCACGTCAGCCAAAACCGCCCTTCATACTGTCGAGGGATCTCGTTTGTCCGGTTTTTGTAAGTTGGGGGACGGGTTGTACCTGGTTTTGCGGTTAAGGGACGAAAATCGGACTAGCCAACTAATAGAGGGACCTAAAGTGAACTTATTCCTTCGCTAGTTGCCATTGAACTACTCCCTTCGTACTGTAATATAACAAGCTTATATTCATAGTACTAGCTTCAATAACAACATATTCTATGTTTTATATTTTAGAGTGAATAGGATAAAGGGGACAGATAGGTAAGGGCATGTTTAGATCTCTACCATATTAATCCATTAATAGTGCTAATATCTAGGTAATCTTTGGCACTGTTAATGAATTAGAATGAATTAGTAAGGTAGTATTATCAGATCATGTTTGGATTGGGATTAATATAAAGCCAAAATTTGCGAAGTGATTTAGTTCAACTGGTTCGATTTATTGTGGTGGAACCAACCCACCGGGGTTCAAATCATAGATTTGACACGAGTGCTTACATTTACGGATAATTATTCTTTCGGTGGTAGACAACGTACCCGACTACCCGTCGAACGCCCATGGTGACTTCGTCAATCTCAAGATATGTCGACCTAATCTTTCGGAGATGCTCGTAGAGGTAGGGTGTGCGTGTGTGTTTATATGGTGAGTGCACGCGCATTGTGGGAACTTGTATTTGTTCTGTGTTTCCCGAAAAAATCATAGTGAAGAAACTTCTAGAATTTAGCTAAATAAAACATGGGCACTATCAATTTGGTTGGCCTTAATCCAAACTAGCACATTTACTATTTATATTGCTAAAAAAATGGTTTTACACATTTAGGTATCAATCCAAAATGTCCCCAAGTCTTTTGTCGTTTATCTCACTTGTATATTTCTTCTTCGATTTTTTATACTGCCAATGTAGAAAATAAACTTAGTAATCCAGTTCAATATGGACAGTGGGATTGTCTACTTCTTACATCGAACTCTAGTTATCTCTGCACCAACTTATTCTACCGACTAAAGTTGCTCAGAAATTGATTCTCGACACTCCTTGGGATGCATGGATATGTAAGAGTAGGATTTTTTTATGAGTTGGAGGAGAGAGAGGAAGAGAGAGAGAGCATGAGCATGCGACTAACCAGTCGCCTGTGATGTCCACACAAAAGTCTTTCCATGTCTGCTTCCTTATCGTCTTCGATGTGGTTGCGAAAACCAAGTTTTTTAGCTAGTTACCATAACAAAACGAGAAGTAGATGTAGGTTTTGGGTGAAGGGACTTCCACAGTGGGCCAAAGTGGAGTTTCTATTGATGAGGTGAATGTATGTGCATTTTCGACCATGTTTAGTAGGGTTTCAACTCCTAAATATAACTTTAGGAGCTAAGTCTATAGTGGAGTTATAGAGCGTTCCGAACCCCACCCTATCTCTCTAGTTTATTTTTTTCGGATCACTCTAGTCTGCTCTGCTTTCTTTTCGAGTGAAACTAAAGTCGTTTGGTTGGGTTCAACTCTAAGAGAAGTGGAGCTAAAGCTAAAGCTTTGTCAAACAGACCTTTCGTTACCCTCAGTTAGGGGAGAGCAACAATGGATTCCTAATAGTACTCCATGTCTAAATGCATTGATTATGAAAGATCACAGGGTTAGATAAAAACTTGGTAAAAATGAGGTATGATGTAAGTTGTGAATCAAACTGAATATTGACTAGATATAATATAATGCTAATCTAGACAATAACATTGAACATGAAACAATTACACATACAACACAGATACATATGACATGCATTCGATTGCTTTCTATAGCGGGCAGCGCTTTCGGTAACAAGCAACCAAGCATGTTCATACTACTGATAATATATTAATTTGTTTTCACTATGAATGATATGTGACATATATCCAAACACTCGTGAATCAATAATGAGATCCATTACCTCTCTAAAATCTGAACAGGCATGCACGTGTGATTGTCATTCCGAATCAAAGTGGTTTCTGTCAAACGGATTCACCAGACCAATTGGCAGACCCCTTTAGAGCATGTATAATAGCAGACTATAAGACAACCAGAAACACTAATGTGCGATTGATCGCTACCGCGATGGGTAGCGATCACCACCCCTCCCCCCTCCCTCCCTCCACGTTTCCTTTTTTGGTACCGCATTACTTTCCTATTTTAGTAAATTTATACACCTAAAGTTTATACGCCTAAAGTTTATAGTCCCAAAGTTTATAAATCAAAAGTTTATATATTCAATTCAAATTTAAATTTGAATTCAAATATTTTTTATAGTATCTCTATACATCTAAAGTTTATACACCTAAAGTTGTAGACCCAAAGTTTATAAATCAAAAGTTTATATATCCGACTTCAAATTTGAATCGGGTATATAAACTTTAGGTCTATAAACTTTAGGTGTATAAACTTTAGATGTATAGAAATACTATATATGAAAAAAATTTGAATCAGATATTTGAATTCAAATTCAAATTTGAATCGGATATATAAACTTTTGACTTATAAACTTTAGGTGTATAAACTTTAGATGTATAGAAATACTATATATAAAAAATATTTGAATTCAAATTCAAATTTGAATTGGATATATAAACTTTTGACTTATAAATTTTGGTCTCTAAACTTTAGATGTGTAAACTTGAGGTGTATAAATTTACTAAAATAGGAAAGTAATACGGTGCCAAAAAAAGAAAACCAGGTGGAGGGAGGGAGGGGGAGGAGGGGGGCCTACCGATCGCTACCAGATCGGTAGGGCGATCGATCGCCCATTAGAACTACCCTAAGACAACTATAAACACATTTTGAGAGGATAAAATAAAAGAGAGAAAAGTAGCGGACTACAGATTTGTTGCCAGCTGTAGCACGAACTCTAATATGCATGTGTGTATGATAGGTGAGTCCATATATTAATTGTATAGTATATGTTTATATATAGCTATGGTATAAATTGGCTATAAAATTAACTATAATTCATTTGGAGCGGGTAGTTGGCCATACCCTTGCTATTATACAACCCTAACTTACACTCCAACTACCACGGTAGGAACCAATCACAATGAGGGGCTTACATACCGGACCCACAAAAGATAGCGCAAAGAAAAATGGGATCAATCTTGAACTGACAAAGAGGGCCCACATAGCAGCCAGACACGACTTGTGGACTCTGCCAAACTTAAACCCCAGCAACTCGGCTTCCTCAGCCCTGCGCTGCGTTGCCCCCCTCCTCCTCCGCCGCCGCCTCATCCCACCACTCGCTAGTCCAATCTCGGTCTCTCCCCGCGCCGCCGCCGCCGCCGCGCCAGCCGCCCCTCCCCCCGCGGAATGGGCGCGCAGGAGGCGTCGGCGGAGGAGGCGCTGCGCACCGCCGCGGCCGAGGTCTCCACCTCCTCGACGACGCGCCGCCTCCGCCTCTTCCGCCACACCCTCCCTCATCTCCTCGCCAAGGCGTCAGGTACCTACGCCGCCATCGCCTCCGCTCCCCCCTATCCCCTGGATCGCGCGTGCTCCCCCCTTCCGTCCGCGGATTAGTCTCCCCGTGCGCGTTCGCTTGCTCCCGTGCTCCTACCCCCCCTTTTTTTTTCTGCGATCGAGAAAATTCTCGGACTCTGATGGCGGATTTGCTTTGATTTGTGGGAGCTAGGGCTCATCGTCCCGCGTTGCGCGTTTGCTTGTTCGTGTGGTTGCCCAATTCCGTTTTACTTGTAGCGGATCGTAGCTCGTTAGCTTCACTCGTCTGTGAATGTGGTCGCTATCCTGTGTAGATTGAGAATAATAGTGCTTGGTTTTGCTCCTCTTTTGCATCCTTGTCTCGTGTTATGCCATGCGATCTGTAGTGTTATTTTAGTTGCTTAGATTACAGTTAGGTCAGGACTAAGCAGCTACGTAGCTTCTGGAGTTGCTTGCTGTTGTTTCATCCTGACATCTGTTTAGTAGTTTTGAACCAAGAGAATGCTTGTATACATTCGTGTGAAGCTAAGTCTCTGCTTGCTTCCAAGTGGTTCCGCAAAGCACCATTGTTTTGTATGTATCTCGTGTTGGTCTGATCTGCAATTATAACTGAATTGCATCGCGCGTTAGTCCTGACTGCAAGGGAAGTTGGTTCGTGTGCACTCATCATCTCCCTTTTTCTACTATCTGACCAAAGCTTTTATTATGATAAGCGATTAAGTTCACAGATGCATAGTGTAATCTGAGCCTCCCTTGAAGTACCTGCATTCCTGATGCAGAGCGCCAGAGCATATGCTTCTTTGTGTTGACTAGATTTGATAGTGATATGTCACTCTAAGCTTAATACGTTGGACATGCTTGTTGAATATACCAAAAGTGAATATGATGCTACAACTGCATGGTCTCTGTTACCATGCAGTGTATATGTTTATCACACACACTTATGTTACGGCTGTTCATGATTCTCTAGAAAACTTGTTGCAAACAAACCAAGGCCGCTGAACTGATGTAATAGATCCCTACACCACCACCACTAATAAGTTAATAACACACACAAACACATACTTTCCTTGCTACGCATCTGGCTGATACACCTTCATTTCATTATACTATTCCATGTATAAGATCGATGCAAAGCTGTTTTTCTTAAGATTGCTTTGTCCCCCCTGCAGAGTCACCATCAGATACAACATTGTTAGTTGATCTCATTTTCCAGACATTGCTTATATATGATGATCGGGCATCGAGAAAAGCGGTCGATGATATGGTTATACAGGCTCTTGGTGAATCTACTTTCATGAAACCCTTTGCTGCTTCACTTGTTCAGTGCATGGAAAAGAATATGAAGGTTACAAGTCCTCTTGCATGCTTCAAGCTTCTCAGATGGTCATGCTATCTTCTGAATTTGAGCCAGTTTGCCATGCTTTCAAAAGGTGGTTTCTCTAGACTTGCCAATGCACAAGCAGTGTTATGTCAAGTCCTAATGGATGGCTCATTTCGTCAGCGCCGTACTTGCAAACAATTGTTTACCCGTCTTTTCTCTGAGGTAATATTTGTTTGAAACAAGTAAATAATTGCACTATTACATGGTTATCAGAATTGCTTTCTGATTATTATTATTTGGTCTCATTTGCCAGTCTATGGGAACGTATAAGATGTACATAGATGAGATCAGAGATTCAAGGATTCCAGTCAGGGACTCTCCTGCTTTCTTAAATATAATGCTGGATTTTGCCATCACTTCACCATCATTATATGCTGAGTACAAGGTAAAACATTGAACCCAGTGCATCACCAAATTTCAGTTATTATCACCCGTGCATTTTCTCTAACCGCCCCAATAATATGGGACCTGGTTTTTCTGGTTAATTTTGTTCATGTGTTTGACAATCTGTTATGATCTCTTTCAGCCACTGTTCCTTGATTTGTATGTCAAAACCATCTTGGGTTCAAAAGACCGGCCATCACAAGCATCGGCTGAAGCTTTTAAGCCTCTTTTTTTGGATATGGGACATGAGGACTTTAAAAACATTGTTGTCCCATCATGCATAAAGATGCTGAAAAGAAATCCTGAGATCGTGCTACAATCTATTGGATATCTCCTGAATACAGTCCGTTTAGACCTAAGCAAGTATTGCATGGAGTTTTTGCCAGTTGTGCTGCATCAGGCTCGGCATTCAGTTGAAGAGAGGAGGATTATTGCTTTGAGTACTGTAGGAACATTGAGTGGGAAGTCTAGTGATCCAGACACTCTACTTTCCATGTTCAATGCTATTAAAGCAATTTTAGGAGGTTGTAAAATGCAGATACATCTCTGTTTTCTGATACCTATTGGCTTATCATATTATTTGTGGGCTCTATTTGTGGTCTACAAATTGTGGCTTTAACTTATGCTGAATACATTAAAATTTTTGGTATTGAAGTCACTTTGACAAGCTTTTGTTTGTGCAGGCTCAGAGGGCAAATTATCAATTCCATACCAGAGAATTGGAATGATAAATGCTTTGGAGCAGTTGTCAAGATCGCCTCCAAAGCAAATAAGCAGACTAGCTCCCTCGTTGTCCAGTTTCCTTCTAACGTGCTACAAGGATGATGGTAAGCCTCAAGTGTTCCACTCTAAGCTTCATACCTTCATTGAGTGGCATTGATTCATAGCTCTTTTATATTATGTCAGGTATTGAAGAAGTGAAATTGGCAGTTCTCTCAGCTTTGGGATCCTGGGCTTCGGTATCAACTGAAACTGTACAAGCAGATGTTGTTTCATTTATAGCTGCAGGTTTGAAAGAGAAAGACACTTTAAGAAAGGGGCATCTAAAATTAATACGGGCCATATGCAAAAAGTCTGATTCACTGACTAAGGTAAGATTTACTTTCAGTTTTTGTCTACAAAAAGAGTCATCTTCCTATTGGTTTCATTATTTTCCCACAAGATTAGTTGCAAGGCAGGTGATATAATTGATGCATTTCAGTTATTGAAGGATATGCTGTTATTGACTTGTTATGCAGGTTACATCTTTGTTGGATCAGTTAATACAGTTGTCAAAAACTGGTTTTACCAAGGCAACACAGCGGCTGGATGGAATCTATGCCCTCTTTTCTGTATCAAGGCTTGCTGCTATTGATACAAAAGCAGGTTTGTGTGCAATCTTTTTTCAACATCCAAGGGCATGTTTTTATGTTATCAAGAACCAGTTTCTTTTATATATATATATATATATATATATATATATATATATATATATATATATATATATATATATATATATATATATATATATATAATGCACAAAATCACTCAAAATTTTCAAATTGTGAGTATATGCCTAGTTATAATAATTCGATTCATACCTATACCTATCAACAAAACAACTCAAATTTAACTTTATTTCACAATCCATGATTACATACCTAACTAATTATATGTATGGATGCTATATACCTAGAATCAAAATCTAACAAAAACAAGTTCAAATTTAGTTCAAACTTGCTTTGAACTAGTTAGTAAAGTAGTTAATGTTAATACCTAAGGAATTGAAAAAGTTTCATACTCATTTGAATTGGGTATATACTCAATTTCAACAATGGTGCCCGGGCACCATGGAGCACCAAACAAATTTACTATATATATATATACATATATATATACATATATATATATATATATAATGTATATATGCCTTTAAATGTATAATGCAGATGCTGCTGTTCTAAAGGAGAAGCTCTGGACATTGATTGCTCAAAATGAACCCTCATTGGTCTCTGTCCAGTTGGTAATACCATATTTCTGGTGTCCTTTGAATATCTGATAAGAATATTTGTTATTTGCCAAATGATCCAGACTGCTTATGTATCTCCTATGCATGACTGGTTCATGACATATAACCTTTAAGTGGTTTTGCTAATCCACGGGCATAACAATTGGATATACGTCAGCATTCCACATTGTTCTTCATTCTTTGTACTGTGAAGCTACATTCTGAAATTTGCTTTCATTATGCCAACGTGCTTGAAGAGTATAAGTTATTAATTTTTATCAAGTAGACAAACATTAGTGGTTTGGCTCAATCATTGGAGCTTCTGTTCTTAGTTTTCATATCTTTCGATGGTACCTTGAAACTGTTGCTCATTGCAGTAATTTTTTTAAACTACACTTTTCCTATGCAGTTTTCCAAACTCACAGATGAGGATTGCTTGACCATCATGGATCTTCTCCAATCACTGTTTGTGGAGCATCATTCCCGGTCTTGCTCTAGCTCAGTGTTTATTAAATTGGCTTTTATTTGGTTGGACTAGTGCCCCCCCCCCTCCCCTCCCTTCTAACTTACACCTTCTTTTTTTCTGTACTGCAGGGTCCAAGAGTTTTTCTCTGTGCAGTCATTACTGCAGGTATGTATTATGGGACAGCATTTTCAAACTGTCAAGTTTGACTTGCTGTTCCCAAATTCTCTTCAAACTTCCTTATGTGTTCATTCCGCTTTTTTAGTGTCAGAGAATTATTGCTTCTAAAATATGCGCTACCCTGATACTCATTGCTTTTCTGGTGCAGCTGCTACTGTATCTAGTTTGCCATCCATGTTGGGAAGTCAGAAAAATGTCTTTTGATGCTACCAAAAGAATCCTCTCAAGCTCTATTGGCTTAGCTGAAGATCTTCTCTTCTTATTTACTAATTGGTTGTCATTAGTTGGAGAGAGAATGTCTATTTTGAAACAAAGGTATGCTTATTTAATGACCTTCTCTTGGTATATTGGTGATCAAGCAGCGTTATCTATCATTAATTCCTCACCCTTCTTTTGAAGTGATCGCACCTAATAAGGCATCAACTTCAGGCAATTTTGATATTATTTGTTGGCTTGAACCCTTCAAATATATCCTGACACGTCTCTTTCAATCAGTGATACAGATAGCACTGCTGATTCACAATTACCATTCATTCCATCTACTGAGGTCCTTGTCAAGTGCTTGTTGTTGATTGCACCTTACGCAGTTGGCCATAGTCCGATATCATATTCTCAACTTCTACTGTGCTCCCACCACCCTTGTATTTCCAGCTCAGATCGTTCTGCTGGTGTCTGGAAGGTTGGATCTTGCTAGCTGTCTTCTGTCCACTTTTTTCTGTGCCTAACTGGTTTGCTTGCTCTATTTCAGAGGTTGCAGAGAAGGTTGAAACAACAGAAGATATTCTTTATTGAATTGATCTCTCCGAACATTTCAGTTATCTGCAAGGTAATTCTTACATTTGGAAACATGCGATACTTTGCCTTAACCTGATGGCTTACAGAATTCTTTTCCTGTTAATGTGTGCTGCTATTTTAATAGTGCTGCCTGAAGATATTAGGCCATGCCACTATATGTAATTCGTACTATATGCTATAAGGAAAAGAGCTGAATGTGTACTACTACATATTATGACTTTTTAATGGTTATTTGTAGTCACATGGTACACACTAGGATTTGGTTCTTTGGCATCGATTATAGGCCACACACTTTCTGTAAAAAAGCACTATTATCTTCTTGTGTCAATAACCCATAGACTTTCCTTTCAGGAATTACTTTCGCTGAATGGTTTATTTAGTTCCAACAAACAAGTTCAATGTGCTGCACTAAATTCATTATCAACGCTGATGACAATAACACCCAGTGATGCATTCCTTGAGTTTGAGAAGGTATGTTTCCCTTCATATTTCAATTGAAACTTGCAATACCTTCTTCTCACATTTTTTGCATACTGTTACCTTCGCAGCACTTCATAGGGCTTCCAGATCTCACTTTGCATGATGGCTTCTCTGAGAATGATATTAAGGTGACCTTTTAAGAATGTGATGTTTTTCTATTAAGAATTATCGAGCCCCCATTTATGAACATGCATGGATGCGCCAGCTTTCTCTGTCCTCATATCTCCTTGAAATGAACTGAATTACTGTATCTGCACACCAGTCTCACAGTCTGTAGTAAGTTTAAGTATTAACTTGTCAAGAATGGCTATATTTTGCTATGACACTGCAACTATGTATGTAGTGTATTTTCAAAAGGTTTCCACATTCTTTGAGCAATTTATATGTACTAGTATCATTAGTGTTTGTGCCTTTTCAAATGGCTTCTATTCCTACTGTAAGAACATATACTTAGAAGTTCTTGTCTCCCCAATGTAGATACTCTATACTCCAGAGGGGCAGTTATCTACCGAGCAAGGAATTTATGTCGCTGAGGCTGTTGCATCCAAAAATACAAAACTTGCGAAGGGCCGTTTTCGTGCGTATGATGATCAAGACACGGTAATTTTTATACTCTTTGACACCATGAAGAAAAAGATATTCCATTGGGCAAGAGAAATGAATTGTAGAAATTAGTGTTTCTGTACAACCTCTCTTTTTCTTGTTTGTTGGAGCATTTTTGCATCCCTTCTGGAATTGGAAATATGCTACTTGTGAGGTGACTTGTGACCAAGGTTTGAGTTCCAGTTCCAGGAAAAAAAAACCAGTTTATCCTAAAAACAGTTAACCGGTCGGTTGGTTACCAGACAAAAGTTTGATTCCAAAATTTTAAATTTGAAAACCGGTAATTTTTGGTAAACCAGTTCTTGAATTAAAAAAATGGATTCAAACTTTTGGCGTGGTTAATGCACAGTATTTTCATATATCTGTTATATAAAATGCATTGATGTACTAGACATGAGTCACATGAGTACATGACATTGGAAGAAAACTTACAGTTTGTACAATTTAAAATTTTGAATTTGAATGGGTACCAAACTACCAATTGGCTGCTCAGGATCTGTAACCGGCTGGATAACTGGCGAGATTTCAATCTCTGGTTGTGACCAAAGTATGTTTGGAAGATGATGTATTGTGATGTCTTGTTTTATTACAAATGTTTCTGTGAGAGCTATAAGCATCTGGCTCAGACAATAACTAATCTGCATTTGGTATGCGATATTTTATAGGACTCTGCTCAATCTGGTGCCCCCACAAAGAGTGACAGAAGAGAGTCCTCTAGCATTGGCAAACGAGAAACAGGGAAATCCACAAAAAAGACTGGTATGATAAGCTAAGGTTCTGACACAGATTAAGTTTTCCACACTGTTTGGTAAAAAAATATCTGTACAATTTTCCAGCTCCGGCTGACAAGGCCAAGACTGCCAAAGAGGAGGCCAGAGATTTGCTTTTGAAAGAGGAAGCATCTGTGCGTGAGAAGATTGGACATGTGCAGAAGAATCTCTCCTTGATGCTGGATGCTCTTGGTGAATTGGCTATTGCTAACCCTATATTTACTCATGGCCAATTGCCTTCTCTGGTTAGCAATCCTATCAGCCTTTTTTACTGTGTGTGCTTGTTATGATTGTTTAATATTGGGACTATAACAATTGGAAGTCTGGAATCACAATGGATGGCTTTCACCATATGGTATTTTTTGTTGTAACAACAGAACTACCTTGGTCACAACAAAAAAAATGTCATCCTAATTCACGCAGTCAAACTATGCGAATATTGATCAAAGATATTTTCTAAAAATGTACTTTGGCTATGCAAAATGGAATGATTATATTATACTATTTGTTATGCAAAATACTTTCATAATATTATAATTTTTTAACCATTGCAATGAATTTTACTGGTCAAACTCCCTTCTGTTGACTTTGGGAACTAAAAAGATGACATTTTTTTTGTGAGGAGGTTGTGCATATTTTGGACATGTAATCGTGGAAAACGGGACCTGGTTAATGATCTGACTGTCAAATATGCAATTAAAACATAAATTGTAGCTGTTTGGTCGTTCAGTGTCCAAGAAGCATATATGAGTCTTAATTTAATACTTGATGGTGTTCCATGCAGGTAAATTATGTTGAACCATTGTTAAGTTCTCCAATTGTAAGTGATGCCGCATTTCGTGCAATGTTAAACCTAGCACGCTGCACAGCCCCGCCTCTTTGCAATTGGGCACCTGAGATTGCTGCTGCTATCCGTGTAATTGCGGTTGATGATTTTAAAATGGTTATGGACCTTATGCCTGTGATTGTGGAAGAAGATAGCAACAAGAAATCATCACCTGGCCTCTTTGAGCAAATAGTAACTGGGCTGACAGTTGCATGCAAAGCAGGGCCTCTTCCAGCAGATTCATTTACTTTTGTCTTTCCGGTATTTCTTCTATTCTATCACTACTATAATACTACGATAAGTTTACTTTTATTCGATCTGATCCTCCCCTTTTTTCTATGGCACCTTTCCCTCTATTTCTTGTCATTAACTTGTCATTTTGTTGTTCAGATAATGGAGAGAATTCTTCTTTCTACAAAAAAGACGTGCCTTCATGATGATGTGCTTCAGATACTAGCCATGCATCTAGATCCAATATTACCTCTTCCTCGACCTAGGATGCTATCAGTTAAACATTCTTAGTTCTTTCATACTGTATGATCTGCATTGCTTTATTCCCCTATTATGAACTAACTTGTCTTTTTGTTGTGTTAGGTTCTTTATCATGTGCTAAGTACCGTTCCTGCTTATCATCCTTCTGTTGGACCTATGCTGAATGAGTTATGTCTGGGTCTAAAAAGCAATGATTTGGCACAGGTTGTTATTTTCTGTTCATTTCTCAGCATTATTTGTTTCACATGATGTTGTGGTATTCTGAATCACTTCTTTACATAGGCTCTTGTTGGGGTATATGCAAAAGAAGTTCATGTTAGGCTTGCCTGCTTAACTGCTATAAAGTGCATTCCTAGCCACTCTGTACAACGGGATTTACAGGTATCAACAAGCCTCTGGATTGCTGCCCATGATCCGGAAAAGGTCGGTAACATTCCAACTATATTTTTCATGAAACCGTGTTTTTTACTCTTTTTACATCCTTGAAAAATGTTAGAACTTTTGATTGTTTTAGAAACTGATTATTTTATTGTACCTATCGGTGCATATGCCTTTTTCAGGTGGTTGCTGAATTAGCAGAGGAGTTATGGGATCGCTTTGGTTTTGATGTTTTTACTGACTATTCCGGTATCTTTGATGCGCTTTCCCATAAAAATTACAATGTTCGAGCTGCTGCAGCTGAAGCTCTGGCTGCTGCACTGGATGAAAATCTTGACAAAATGCAAGTAAGTTTCCATTGGTACAAGCCCCCCCTTTCTTCATTATGTATGTACTAGTGTCATTATGTTTGTTTAGCTGCAAAATATTAAAAAGGCATCAGAGCTTAGCTGTTCTTGACTAAAGAATACTTTGTTACTTTGGGAGGGACCTTCTAATTACTCTATGGTATTATGGCAGGATACACTTTCTACACTTTTTTCTTTGTACATCCGAGATCTTGGTGCTGGAGTTGAATTTGGAGATATACATTGGCTTGGAAGACAGGGTGTTGCATTAGCCCTCCATTCGCTTGCAGATGTTTTGGGTTCTAAGGATCTTCCTGTTGTTATGACATTTCTCATATCACGTGCCTTGGTAAATGTTTCTCTTTTACATTATGTGGATTCTATTATTTTTAATCCTCTTGCATTGAGTTGTTAATGCCTTATATTGAACTTATAGGCTGATCCTAATGTGGACGTTCGTGGTAGAATGATTAATGCTGGAATCCTTATTATTGATAAACATGGAAAGGAAAATGTCCCTTTGTTGTTTCCTATTTTCGAGAGCTACTTGAATAAAAAGGTGAGTCTTCCTTATAATTTCTGTTACAACTGAGTAAATTGCATTACTACTCACTAGTACAACAACTTGGCAAGTGGGTGCCATTTCGTATAAGAATTTGCAAAGTGATCAGATGGGTGAAACAACTTGACAAATGGGCGAAAGCTAGTACAAGAAATTGCAAATTGATCAAACCAGAGCAACTTGGTAAAGAGGTGCATTCATCAGTTATGAGGCTCCATGTGGGACTGTGAGCCACATCAGCAGTACCTGGCAAATGGACTGACCCAATGAGCCACACGTGCAGTGGTGCTCACTAGTTAATAATTTTATGTCAAATTCCGTACCTTTCTTGTTATTTACCTCCATGTTTTCTTTCCTGTGTTGATTCACTGGACGGTTTATGTTGAATTGAACCATAATGTAGATCTTCATGCTTCAACTTGCACCGGTAGACCCTAGGGTTAGTTTGTGATGACACGCAAGGTTATAAAACTCAGATCTGCTGGCCACCAATATTTAAGGTCCTTGTGAGATAGAACCACACATTAATCAAGCAGCATAGACAAGATTTATGCAACTAAATCTTACAGCTTTAATGGCTGACTTGATAAATAATCATTGCCTGAATGTCCTATAATGCCATGTGGGCCATGTGGCGCCTTCTAGGCATAAAAACACACTCAAAGACCAATTTGTTGCGGTAGATTGGTCAATTTTAAAGTGTTGATATACTCCCTCTGTTTTTATTTATGTCACTTTTGATCATGCACGTAAATCAATACGGTCAACTTTTTCCAGGCAAATGACCAAAGTGCCCCTAGTTTAGTGGGATATAGAATCTAGAATTTTCAAAATACATATGCCACAAATATCATCTTAGGCCCACCAATGACAAAACAGGAATCACCTGCTTTGTAAGTGCGCAGTGACAAGTATTTTCAAACTTAAAAGTTGTCAAATGTGACAAGTAATGAAAACAGATGTAGTACTAACTAGCAACCATTTACCAAGTTGCACCGAATTGATCACTTTGCAAGTTCTTATACTAACTAGAAACCACTTGCCAAGTTGTTGCACCGAATCGATCATGTTGCAAGTTCTTGTACTAATTTACGCTCATCTGTCAAAGTTGTTTCACCCACCATGCAATTTACCCATTACAATTTATGTTGATGACAAAGCTCTTGGATTTGCTTACCTGTTGTATATAATAACATTATTCTCACTTTTTTTTTCTCATTTGCTCTCAGGCCTCGGATGAGGAAAAATATGATCTTGTCAGGGAAGGTGTTGTGATATTCACTGGTGCTCTTGCAAAGCATCTATCAAAGGTACATATATTTTCACTTTTTCAGACTATGGTGGTTATAGGCTGAGTTGTCTTGAATCAAGCGTCATATTTATATGATATTACCATGCTAATATAAACTTTAAACTTTGTAACAGGATGATCCTAAAGTCCACAGTGTTGTTGAGAAGTTGTTAGATGTCCTGAACACCCCATCGGAGGCAGTTCAAAGGGCTGTGTCAGACTGTTTATCTCCACTTATGGTCTCAAAACAAGTGAGTTGCATGGCATTATCAGTTTCATCTCCCATTGCTGATTACTACTCCTTTTGTTATGTTTTCCTCCTCCTCTGTTTTATATTGTTATAATTTGCACTTCTCTATAACCAGGAAGAGGCCCAAGCTCTTGTATCTAGACTTTTAGATAGGATGATGAAATGCGAAAAGTATGGTGAACGACGTGGTGCAGCCTTTGGCCTTGCTGGTGTGGTTAAAGGATTTGGAATTTCTTCCTTGAAGAAGTATGGCATTGCTGCAATACTGCAGCAAGGTTTGGAAGACAGGTTTGCTATTTTTTTTAACTCTTCCACCAGTTCTACATGAAAGACTTACTAAGCTTTGTTTCTGCATTCACCATGTGACATATAGTTTCATCATATAATATCTAATGTGCTTGCGGCCTTTTGAAATTACTTCTTTTGCTGTCTATTGTCTAGTTGCTTTTAGAGCACTGTGAATTTGGCGCCTGTCATTGTGATCACTCTCAGTAATTGAGAAGCTCTTCCTTTGCCCTTAAGGCCTTAAGGCCCTGTTGGATGTGACAATTTTCCCTGATTCCTAATAGAATTCAACTTTGTGGAGTTTATATGTTCCAAAAATGGCCTAAATTCAGCATTTTGAAGACATATGACCTCGCTCGTGCATCTTTCAATGACAGGATAATACTTTGCATCGTACTTTCTTCTTTTGTGGATTCTCTGTCCTTTTTGACAAGAAACTATAACTAAATCTGTCCATTCCAGAGCTTCTGCAAAATCTCGCGAAGGAGCTTTACTAGGATTTGAGTGCTTGTGTGAGAAGCTTGGCAAACTATTTGAGCCGTAAGTGAGATACCATTTATTGTAGGCTTTGTTTGATCCAAAACGTTTCATTGTGATCCTTGTCTTGCAGGTATGTCATTCAAATGCTACCGTTGCTGCTCGTGTCTTTCTCAGATCAAGTTCTGGCAGTGCGTGAATCCGCGGAATGTGCTGCTCGGGCAATGATGTCCCAGCTCACAGGTCATGGGGTGAAGCTTGTCCTTCCTTCACTTCTTAAGGTGCGGATGCCTTGTTTGAAATTACCTTACTGATTCTAACGCCTTTCATGTCTTGTTTGAAGTTATCATACCTCCCATATTTGTACAATTGGTCACTTGCTGTTGCAATCCACTAACCAAACCTTCTGCCATTACATCTAGATTTGATGCATTCCATTATTTTCAAGGTTCAGTTTGATTTGAATATACACGGCATCTAGCACCAGAAACTACTAGTTGCAAGTAATCACATGATTTCAACTTAAGTATTTTGCATAATTCTGTGGGTTTGTGAAGCATTTTGACCCAATGACTGGAGTTCTTTGAAACGAATTGTAAACACCTAAGATTTGCGGAACTTACACTTCATTTAATCAACTAGAGACTAGATAGAGCTGCCCGTCTGTGATGAATGATATTCTGTCTGTGCCCTTTTTTATTCGACTCCAATGTTTATGCTGTTTATGTGAATTTTTATATGTAATATTATTGATTTAATAGTTCAGATACCATCTGGGGAAAAAAAATCAGATATATGGTCACCTTTATTTCCCTGAAGGTGAACTTAGGGGGATATCTATTTATTTGCTAAATAATTTCTTAAGATGTGCATATGTGGATAATTATCTTCCAGGGCCTAGAAGATAAAGCATGGCGTACTAAGCAAAGCAGTGTTCAACTTCTCGGTGCTATGGCCTATTGTGCTCCTCAGCAGCTATCGCAGTGTCTTCCAAAGATTGTTCCAAAACTTACAGAGGTATATGATGGAATCTGTATGTTGAGCTTATAAGCTGCGTATAATACTTTCATGTCTTCTTGTACTTGTGCTTAGAATGCCGTTTTATATGCTACGGTTAGCATGTGATTTATATATTTATTCCGTATCTTTGCTAGGTATTGACTGACACACATCCTAAAGTCCAAGCAGCAGGACAGACAGCCCTCCAGCAGGTAATGTATTATTTAATGTAAACTCTGAGATGTTGATGCCTCGTTTCCAATGGATGCTATGATGTTTTTCCAGGTTGGAAGTGTTATAAAGAATCCTGAGATATCTGCACTTGTTCCTATTCTTCTGTCCGCTCTGACAGATCCAAACAACCACACCAAACATTCTCTTGACATCCTTCTTCAGGTAAAGCAAGCTTTAAATTAACACACTTTTTTTTTTTTTTACATTTCAGCTGCTTGCATCATACTGCTTTTGTAAGAGGAACTTTTTAATTATTATATTTACCTTATATGTCCTTTTTTTTGGCAGACAACTTTCATTAATTCAATAGATGCACCATCACTTGCACTGCTGGTGCCTATCGTGCATAGGGGATTGAGGGAGAGAGGTGTTGATACCAAGAAGAAAGCAGCTCAAATAGTCGGAAACATGTCTTCTTTAGTTACAGAGCCAAAGGATATGATTCCTTACATAGGGCTGCTCCTACCTGAAGTAAAGAAGGTAACTTCTGTGCCCCTATTGTGGCACAAATAGCTTATCGAAGTGAATACATGCAAATAGCAAACCATTAGTTGATTTTCTTTATGCCTTATACTCTTCTCGACAATGTTTTTTAGGTTCTGGTGGATCCTATACCTGAAGTCAGGGCAGTTGCTGCTCGAGCTCTTGGATCTCTTATAATAGGAATGGGTGAAGAAATTTTCCCAGACCTTGTGCCATGGCTATTAGATACGCTCAAATCTGATAGTAGCAATGTTGAGCGGTCAGGAGCTGCTCAAGGACTAAGCGAGGTTGTTTTCTTTCCTTTAACATATCAGTGCTTCTCTTGTGGCCGAACTTTTTTATACCTAATAGAATGTGTGTTTTAGCTTGGTATATTTTTGTACTCTTTTGGAACCACCTGCTGCAACAATGCAATATTTTTGTTGCCAAGAGAATTCACTTCTGTAATGTCTGATATGTTTATTATTTATTGCATTGGTTCACACTTCTCTGACATATCATTCAACGAGGAAAAATGATTTTACTTAACAAAATTGAGTGTGTCATGAAGTCCATTCAGGGTTCCTAACCCAGTGTTATTATCTAAACACGTGCCATGGGTACTCTTAGGCAATAATGAATAGCTGGTTCAGCCAGCACGACATCTGTTAATATATAATTACACTAAAGTTATTGCCAATTTTCAGGTCTTGGCTGCTCTTGGAAAAGACTATTTTGATCAAATTCTTCCTGACATCATCCGTAATTGTTCCCATCAGAAGGCTTCTGTTCGCGATGGGCACTTGACACTATTCCGCGTAATTTACCTCTTATTTCTTTTGTTTTTCTCTTACTACTATGCCACTTTTAATGTTGAATTGTTTCTAACTAATATACATTTTATAGTATTTGCCAAGGTCCTTGGGTGGAGTTTTTCAGAATTACCTACAGATCGTTCTTCCTGCTATATTAGATGGTAAGATAGTTGAACTTTGGGCGTGTTTGGATGGTGCCCTGACCTGAGCGCTCTCACTCAGGCAGGTGCATCCAACCACAGGCCACCAAAATCGGACTCCTGAGAATCATGCCTGACTCAGGCGTGATTCTCAGGGTGAACCAAACAGGCCCTTTGTCTCTGCTCTGATCACATTGGTTATCTAATTACTTACTTCTGTCAGGACTTGCTGATGAGAATGAATCTGTTCGTGATGCTGCACTTTCTGCCGGTCATGTATTTGTGGAGCATTATGCTACATCGTATGCTCTCCCATTTGAATTAGTTTGCTGCTCATTTTATCACAATGCTATTGATATGTGATGACATTTTCACTATGTTAAATAGGTCTTTACCTTTGTTGCTTCCTGCCATTGAGGACGGGATATTCAGTGATAATTGGCGTATCAGACAGAGTTCTGTTGAACTATTGGGTGATCTTTTATTCAAGGTCTCTTACCTCCTTTATGTAGCACTCTCTCTTTGGTTTTCACCTTTTCAATGGTTGCACCATCTAGTAATGCTATTTTTGATAGGTGGCTGGAACTTCTGGGAAGGCAATCCTTGAAGGTGGAAGCGATGATGAAGGTGCTAGCACTGAGGCTCATGGGCGTGCAATTATTGATGTACTTGGAAGGGAGAAACGTAATGAAGTTCTTGCTGCCATTTATATGGTCCGTTCTGATGTCAGCTTGACCGTCCGGCAGGTATATTTGTGTTTTTCCCTTGCCTGTTAGAATATGCAACTGCTCAGTGTTGCCAGAACATTCATATTCAACCTACTTCTTTCAATGTCAGGCTGCATTACACGTTTGGAAAACTATCGTAGCAAATACTCCAAGAACTCTGAAGGAGATTATGCCTGTACTTATGGACACACTTATTTCATCACTTGCATCATCTTCCTCAGAACGCCGGCAGGTTTGGTCTATTACATATACTGTTTCAATGTTGTGGAGAGTTCTACTTCGACTTTGCTATATATGGACATTTTTCAGGTCGCTGGAAGATCTCTTGGTGAGCTTGTAAGAAAGCTTGGTGAGAGAGTTCTGCCCTCTATTATTCCAATTTTGTCTCAAGGACTCAAGGATCCTGATGCTAGCAGGAGACAAGTATGTATTTTTAGCTTAATGCGTTTACAGAAGTTTACAATGATCTCTTTATTTCTTAGGAGTAGTGGAGAATGAAATGAAAATCTTCGTATACTCAATTGCGTTGAGCTATGTTTTCCTTATCCTTATCATTTTTTTTTGTCTTTCACCCTGGAGTTCCTTGTCAGCTTTTACTGATGCTCTTTATGAATTTTACTCTGTACAGATTATTCATTTCGTTGAACATACTTATTCTAGGAATGATCAATATGCTTTATTTTTTTTGGTTTTCAGGGTGTTTGCATCGGCTTGAGTGAGGTTATGGGTAGTGCCGGGAAACATCAGCTACTAAGTTTTATGGATTTGCTAATCCCTACCATCCGAACTGCTCTCTGTGACAGGTTTGCTTCTTGGCTGTGATTTTTTTTTAATGTTTTATAGTTAAGTCTCAATAAACAATATGTTGTTTGTGGCAGCACCCAAGAGGTCCGTGAATCTGCAGGATTAGCATTTAGTACTCTGTACAAGGTATCACAGAGACCACGTTCTTATGTTATGGATTATTTGTCGTTCTTGTATGTTGACTTTTCCACCTTTTATGTAGAGTGCTGGACTGCAAGCCATTGATGAGATTGTCCCCACTCTGCTACGGGCTTTGGAAGACGACGAAACATCTGCGACAGCCCTTGATGGTCTAAAACAGATTCTAAGGTTCTTTTTATTCTCTCATTTGGTGAAATTGAATACGTTGACTTGGAATTGCAGAGAGATGCTGACCTTTCAGTCTGCTTTTATAGTGTCAGGACTGCAGCTGTTTTACCCCATATATTGCCCAAATTAGTCCAGCCTCCTCTCTCGTGAGTGAACCACTGCTATTCGCAATTTACTATAATTATGCTTAAATTAACACCATCCTTTCTTAACACATACTACATTGTACTTGGCTAGTTCATTCAATGCACATGCATTAGGAGCTTTAGCAGAGGTTGCTGGGCCAGGTTTGAATTCACATATTGGAACTGTCCTCCCAGCATTGATACTTGCCATGGATGATGAAGATGCTGTAAGATGCATTCAAGACACAAACATACTTTGATTTATCTAATTTCTTATTCATGTTATTCATTATTTATACTCTTAAGATCATTATCTAATATTTCACTCTTTGGTGCTTAAAGGATGTACAAAACTCGGCTAGGAAGGCTGCTGAAACTGTTGTGTTGGTTATTGATGAGGAAGGAATTGAAACATTAATACCAGAGCTTCTTAAAGGAGTCAATGATAGTCAGGTAGTTTCACCTGAAAATTCTTTTTAGGATCCGAAACAATATTATTCTGTTCATTTTAAGGGTTTTAACAAAATTTTCCCCTGCAGGCATCCATGCGGCGTGGCTCAGCCTATCTGATTGGTTTCCTCTTTAAAAACAGTAAATTGTATTTGGCTGATGAGGCTCCAGATATTATGTCCACCCTAATTACTTTGTTGAGTGATACCGATAAGGCTACTGTATCAGTGAGCACCTGCCATCCAGTATGCTACAGTGTTATTTATCTACTTTTAAGACTTATTTACTTACAACTGTCAACAGGCTGCTTTGGAAGCATTTTCGCGAGTTGTTAGCTCTGTTCCAAAGGAACAGCTTCCTACACATATAAAACTAGTACGTGATGCTGTCTCCACTGCCAGGGATAAAGAACGTAGAAGGAGAAAGGTGCTACTCTGAACTTCTAAACTTCAGCTGTGCATAAGTGGCAATCTGTCCTCTCATAGCTCGGGAAAAAAAATGTTGCCACAATATTTTCAGAGACACTTCTTAGTTGTTCTTGCAATATTTTCAGAGACTTCTTAGTTGTTCTGATTGTAGATTCTAACAAAAGTCAAATTCAATTTCAGGGTGTGCCTATTCTCGTCCCTGGCTTATGTCTTCCGAAAGCACTGCAGCCCTTTCTTCCTATATTTCAGCAGGTATGTTTTTTTAGAACTATTTTTGATATTAAGTATCCCTGCTATAACCAAAATGTGCATTTCTGGATTGAGAAACACTAAAAACGAACTGCATTTCTTTTCTTTATCTTATACCATCATCTGGAGGGTTCAGCACATTTTATGATACCTCTTCTGTTCAACTCCAGGGTTTAATTAGTGGATCAGCCGAGACAAAGGAACAGGCAGCAGAAGGTCTGGGGGAGTTAATTGATGTTACAAGTGAGAAAACTCTTAAGGAGGTTGTTGTGCCGATTACAGGGTATGGCTGATTCATCAAAATAACTTCAATTATGTGGTTATCATCTTTAGCTTTAAATTTACATGGAGCATTATGTTGTCCCAACTTTGGCTTTAAGACAGATCCAATATGGTTTAATGGGTTCCGTAACAACCATCTGTCATGCTGAAGGGGTTACTTTAAACTTCTATCAGTTTCCAGAAACCGCAAAATGCCTGGACTGGACAGTGTTGATGGTCCTTTAAGTTAATTCGCCACTCTGAAAGCTGTCCTGAACTTCACGTAGTTAGCTCCTCTTAACTTAAGTATTGCACTGATCAATGATGACCAGGGAGTTAGCTCCTCTGTTGAATATGCAGTACCATCCTTCCGAGGCATCTCTGGACTGGACAGTGTTGATGGTCCTTTAAGTTAATTCGCCACTCTGAAAGCTGTCCTGAACTTCACGTAGTTAGCTCCTCTTAACTTAAGTATTGCACTGATCAATGATGACCAGGGAGTTAGCTCCTCTGTTGAATATGCAGTACCATCCTTCCGAGGCATCTCTGAACTTCTGATATTTCAGACATATTTGTGTTGTATAGTCCTATCAAGTTAGACCGAGTTAGAGAATTTTGAACAAGAGTTCTTTCTGATCAAGTTGTATTTCTCACCATTTAATTGAAGAGTTCTATTATGACTTATACCCAGATTAATAAAAAAGACCAACAAGAAGTAATATTTTTAATTTGTATCCACATTGTTAGTTCCCATCATTCCGTCGTGTCTTTGCTCTGTATGTTTTAGACAATTCATTTATTCTATATATTTTTCTACCATGATATTTTGTAACTCATAAACATAACAAGGTTGCTGATATTTTTCACTACTATTGCTTTCAAGATGTAGTCCTTATGTTGTTAACGTTTAACAAAGATACCTTCGATCTTCATCAATTGAATGGCATCAATCTAGCTCTCCCTTACATCTAAAACACAGCACTTGGTGATCATATTTTTGGTGCTCTGGATCCAATATTAGTTAGAAGTGTAGCTTTGGCAGGTTTCAAACTGCTCCTTCTGCCCGTTGAATATTATTTTATAATGGCCATACTAATCTGCTTGTATACCATAAGCTAGAGAGTTTACATAGGTAAATACAGTCGTATCCTGGTATTGACCCTATAGTGCATCCTGGTATTGATCATAAAGTGCATTACTGACCTGTCTATGTCCCATCTGCTTGGTACATGGTCTAATGTAAACACAGAAGTGCTAACTAGTGCCCTGCCCTCTGAGACTGTAAATACGTCCCCCAAACTAGTACTTCATCCGGCAAAAAATATGTGACATTTGACTTTCTTCACGGTCTTCAAAGTTAACTTTTGACCACACTTTTATCTTAGAATAAGTTTGTAAAATATTGTATGGTTATGATATTTTAATAGTAGTACTTTGTAAGGCAAACCTACGAATACCCTTTTTTGAACCAAGTATATTAGAAGTTATTGATAGTCGAAAGTTTCAAAAGTTCGATCAAATCTTGTCCGGAAGATCAAATATTTATGGCTGGATAGAGTAAATGTGTTGTCCCGCGTGACCATAAATGGCCAGGCACTATTAGCGTCCTGGCACTAAGATAGTGGATATAAATTAAAATATAGCACTAACATTTACTGCACAAAACAATTCGTGTTATCACATTCACATCGTTGCCGCAACTTAGTTACTTCCCTTGTTTTACTTACCATGATCTACCTTGAAGAAACAACATTAAGTAGGCAAATGTGAAAACAAAACAGGAGCCTAAGCAATGCTCTAATCTAATGTTTTTCTGTTTATCCTCATTGTAGGCTGATTTACTTTTGGTTATATACATATATATATTTGCATGTCTACGTGAAGCTCTAATCTGTCCTTTTCTTTTTTCATATAGTCCTCTTATCCGTATTCTTGGAGATCGATTTCCGTGGCAAGTCAAGTCAGCTATCCTATCAACTCTGACTATCATCATTTCTAAAGGGGGGCTTGCACTTAAGCCTTTCCTTCCACAACTTCAGACTACATTTGTCAAGTGTCTGCAGGATAACAATAGGTTGGTGTTACTATCATTTCGTTTTGCAGTTTGTTCAATTGTTCTACCACCTCTCACACAAAATCTGAACAACAGATCTGTTCGAACAAGGGCTGCATCTGCTCTTGGAAAGCTTAGTGCACTTAGCACGCGAGTGGATCCTTTAGTTAGCGATCTGTTGTCCATGTTGCAGGTAGTTTTGACTTCTGCACACCCCCTCTTCTCTTTGTTTTGATGAAGTTTTGACTGCTTGTGCAAAAAAGTAATTTTAAGTTTTTTAGTCAGGGGATGATGCAGTCAAAGAAAGCGTACTTTCTGCACTTAAAGGTGTTGTCAGGCATGCTGGCAAAAGTGTTAGCCCTGTAGTCAGATCTCGCGGGTGTGATCTTCTCAAAGATCTACTTCAGGCTGATGCTGATGACGTCCGCAGTTCTGCGGCAAAGGCAATTGGTACATTATGTCAGGTATGGTTACTTTTGCCCTTCTTTTATCCATATAAACTTTTCCCTTGTGATGCAATGGAAAACCTACAAATTTGATAACTATGCTGGTAGTACTGCACAAGTGCCATTAGGGCATTTACAATGCGGTGACATGGCGAGTGGTCTTGCGCTTCCACATCGGATCCGAGCCACCACCTCAGCTGGGAGAGTGACCTCGAGTGTGCCCTGATGAAGGCACAGGAGCCTTGGCTTGGAAGGTAGCCTGGCGCGTGGAGCCGCCTTGTGCGAGCAGTGCCCTTGTCACGGTTGATTTTTGGAGGACCATCCAAGCTAGTAATGCATTGTGATGGAAGTGTCCTCGATGGTAACCTACGTAGCACACTCTCTCTCCTGAGACCATACCATTAGACCACTTTGCTCTGTAAATGCCCTTCCGCACCAGCTTCTCCACATCTGAATGGCTGCCCCCATCGTTAATCAGTCATATTGTCATTGTGCTGAACGTGAGCGGAAGGAATCGTCAAGCTCAGCGGAAATAAATGTCATTCATGCCAACTAAGGAGAATGGTTTCTGACAGGTGGCTATGTTGATTGGCATCTGATAAGCTCGGAGAGCCTTAAAAAGAGTCTCCTCTGGCTTGAGAGTGTTTGTAGCTATGGTATGGATCTGTTCTGAACAGCAATGCGTCAAAAGAAGATCTGATCTGAAGACCAGTGTACATTGTGTTCCTGGAGTACACCTTCTCTATCCGCAGCTACTAGTAACAACAGATGTTGACCTCCTTTCTTTTCTGTATAAGACTTCATTCGAAACCTTGTGATAATCACACAAGTGAAGGAAAAGAGAATTGGTCCAGTGGGAACTCATTTTATAAGTACTGATTGCAACACTGGCTCAGTATCCTTTATTTGTTTTCCTCTGACTGCTCTTTGTCACCCTCTCCAAATTCACTTTGACACTGGTGCATGACCTGCTGAAGACAAAACCTAACTTGTCAGTACCACACACCACCATGATCATAAGATGCGCCCATGTATCAGTGGTTAATGGGAAAAATAATTTCCTATAGAATGATCAGATTGAATATGCTCCTGTCTGAACCTTGTGACTGGTAACAGAGTAGCCTTGTGTCTAATAAGGTTGTTCAAATTGCTAGTCCTATTTCTTGGGAGCTTTTTTTTTTTTACATAAAGCATTGACCTATCTTTGTTGGATGTGTTAGACACAATGTCCTTTTCATAACTGTTGTGTTCTTTTCCTTCATTTGGCTGTGCATCCGTTAATTGTAATATACCTTATTTCTTCAGTACATGGAGGAGAACGAGACTTCTGACCTGGTGCAAACCTTGTTGAATATGGGAACCTTACCAGACTGGTGTACCAGGCATGGTGCTTTGTTAACATTCTGTTCGATATCGATGCATTGTTCATCTAAGTTGTGCCGTTCGATGTCATTTCCTTCTATTGTTGATCTTCTGAAAGATTCTCTGAAAGATGACAAGGTAGTGAATCATCCTGGATACCTTAGTTTCTGCAAATATAACTGTGCCCTTATGTGTAAGTCTTGTCTGTCTTGTGAAGTTCCCTGTTCGTGAAGCCTCGACAAAAACTTTGGGGAGGCTACTCTGTTACCAGTTGCAGTCTGAAGCTAGCACCTTGCAACTTATCCAGTTACTTGCCTTGGCATTGCGCGATGATTCAAGTGAAGTTCGAAGGAGATCTTTGTCTCGTCTCAAAGCTGCTGCAAAGGTTTATACTCTGATCATATGTTTCTTGATGATCATTTTTATCTTTAGTTGAGTTGGTATGGCTGGTAATCTAATGACTTGGTGAGTTGGTATTGTAGATAAATAACCCAGCCCTTGCTACGCATCTCTCAATATTGGGCCCAGCAATAGCTGAAGCTTTGAAGGATACGAACACGCCTGTGCGTGTAGCAGCAGAGCGTTGTGCCCTTCATGTTTTCCAGTTGACAAAAGGTACTTCACATGTCTTTGCCTTTCTTTTCTGCTCATATTATATTATACCAACTTCATGACAATATGTAAGGACTCCGTGAGGCGGTGATAAACTTAACATTTGCCAGAATTTCAGTGTCATATTGTTTAATGAACTTTTCAAAAACTAATGTCGCTAGCTCTGTTTCCAGGAGCAGACAATGTTACAATTGCTCAAAAGCACCTGAACATGACAGGTTTGGAAGTAAGGAAAATTGCAAAACTTCCAGAGGAGAGGTTAGACCTATTGTGCTACCTACCATTGCTGATATGTGTGATTGTTCGTTTTTTCTTTTCATTAATGAATGAAATTAGATGAGAACTATCTATAAAAAAATTGACCATTTCTTTCCACTTTCATCTGCAGTGATGGCAGTGAGAGCAGTGACGATGACAAGAGGAAATAAAACGCATTACTCACTGCAGCCACTCGGACCAAATTTTGCTTCTGTTTGTTGTCCACCCATATATGATCTTTTCTTCATAGTTGTGGAAATATGGTCATTTTTCTCCTCCTGGCCATTGGTATAAACACCCTTTTTTGACAAAATACAGTAGCAGAGGAAGACAGTTCGGCGTTGTTCATATTCTTCTTACTAGAAATCAACGTTGTTCATAATACAATGATAGTGTTAATGAAGATTAATTAATCCCAGATGCTGACTCTACCGAGGACTTTTGGTGATCATAGTAAAGCTAGAGTAGCATTGCAAAAATAGCTGATGAAAACATTGCGGTCTAATGAGTGAAATGGTTGCAACCATACTGGATTACTAATCGAAACAAAATCGGTTTGACAAAATACTCAAGTAGGTAGTCCCTTGTTCTCACGTACTGTAGTAGTAGTGGACAGTATAATAATAGCCTACAAAGTACAAACAATAGCAAATCTGTTCCCTCAATCATGAATAATAATCACGTAGTACTACATCTCTGTCACAGTACAAGCTGCTCCAGTAACCGTAAAACACCTGAACCAAAACGAAACAAACAGACACACCAAAGCACAAATGACAAATCCTCAGCCTCCTACCATCGCTCGTCCCCTTCCCAGTTGTTCTTCTCCTTGGGCCCCGTCGGCCCCTCCTCCCTGGACAGCTCGTTGGGCAGCTTGTTCAGCATCCTCTCTGCGGGGCTCCTCAGCCGGCGGTGCATCGCGCTCGTCATCCGCTCCATCCTCTGCCTCGACTTGTACACCACCGTCGGCCCCCACACCCTCATGAAGTTGAGCCACCGCGGCTCCTCCACGGCGCCCTCGCCGAGGTACTCCGCCGCCACGATCCTGTACTTGGCGCTGGAATCCACGGCCAGCTCGCTCCGCGCCGCGTCGTTCCGGATGCCGATCCCGAGCGCCGCCGACCCCTGCAGGTACACGCCCGGGAACGGGTAGCTGGCGTGGCCGTTCCGGGAGGAGTACACCGCCGGCTTGTTCCCCGCGGTGTACTCGAGCGCGGACGCGTCCACCCACCGCCCGCCGCTGTGCTGCGAGAAGTAGACGGCCATGAGCTCGCCGGTGAAGTTGCTGACGCGGAGCGTGAAGTGCTCCCAGTCGCCGATGTGCTGCCCGGTCTTGCCGAGCGGGATGGTGATCGGCCCCAACTTGAACCTGGCCGGGCCATTGAACGGGCAGAACACCCACATGGCGACGTCGGTGCACGTCCCGCCCATCGCCGGCTTCACGTGCGCGTACAGCTCCGCGCTGTCGATGTCGCCGTAGATGATGGACTCCCCACGCTTGCCGTCCGGCAGGCCGATCCAGTACTCGCCGTCGTTGCACTCGCCGCACGGGAGGTGGGACCCCTCAACGTCGAGCTCCACGGCGGCGTCCTCCCCTTTCTTGCACAGCGCGGCGCCGTTCTTGAAGAACCAGGAGACGGACGACGGGAGGTACACCTCCTTGGGGTGGAAGTACAGCGTCGGGCCGTAGTGGCGGATCACCGCGTGCGCCTGCTCCAGCGTCGGCATCGCCGACAGGTCGAGGTCCACGTTCTTGAGGCACGCCATGCCCTGCTCCCGCGGCGACAGCCCCACCGCGCCGCAGCAGAACGTCCCGGCGCCGATGCCCCGCCCCCACATCCCCCGGTGCGTCGGCCTGATGCCACGCAGGGCGAACGCCGCTGGGACCGTCGACGACGACCAGCACGCCGATTGCCCCACGAGCTGGAGCTGCAGCAGCGACCCGTGGGGCTCGCACTCGTCGGTGAGGTCCGCGCGGGCGCACGCCACCTCCCTGAGCGGCGGCTTGTCGGGCTCAGCCGTGACGAGCAGCCCGAGCGCCCGGTACCCATCCGTCGGCACGGGAAGCCAGAAGTAGGCGCCGGTGCGGCCGTACCCACGGCAAGACTTCCTGTCCTCCCCGACGCCATCGGCGCGGAACGCGCACACGAGCTCGTAGTCGTGCGGCGGCCGGAGAGGCGGCAGCGACTCCGACTCCGGCTTGCCCGCCACCGCCTTGGCGACGAGCAGGTGGCCGTGGAGCGGGCGTGTGTTGGACTGGCAGTAATGGCCGAGCACGGAGAACCCCCCCGGCACGCCGGCCGGCCTGTAGAACGTGACGCCGCCGCCGCCGCCCTTCGTCGCCGACAGGGCGCAGATCTTCTCGAACGCGGTGACCGCCGCGAGCTCCAGCTCCCCCACGCAGATCCTCCCCGTCGCAAACCCACCACCTAATCCAATCCATAACCAAATCAACACCCCCCACTCGGATAAAGCGAGACAGAATCCATCCAAATTGAAGCGTGAGAGAGACACCACTCACCTTGCGGCCATGCCGGGAGGGCGTCGGCGAAGGCGAAGCGCGCCGGCTCGGTCTCCTCCGCCGCGCGGCCCCCGATGCCCAACCGCTGCAGCATCGCCTTCGCCTCCTCGCGCTTGTGTTGGATCAGGTGAGGTGACAGGCCACACACCACCACAGTGACACACACAAACACACTAGCTGGCTCTGGCTGACGATGCCTCACGCGCGCATCGGCCGGCCAGATCCGTCTCTGACTGGCTCGTGGTCTGGGGGCGCTTTCGACGCTAGGATTTGGCAATTTGCTGGTGTATGCGCGCGCCCGACATGCCGGTCCGCGCCGCGGCGACTCCAATTAAAGGGGGCAGATGCCGTTCTTGGGTTGGTGGAGGGTGCGAATCTTAGGAGAGGAGGACGCCTTGGGAAACTATTCTAATCTCTCGAGGGGATGTTCCCTCGTTTGCTCAAAAACCATCTAAATGATTATGAAAAATTCTGAAAAAAATTGACAACATTCATACAACACATATATACAACTCCACAAAATCTCAAGTCCAAACTCAACTCACACGTCGAGATATAAAAAAGACAAATTCAGCGTATGAATAGTAGTGTACTGTTTATATCTAAATTTGTATTTTTTGTTTCTCGATGTGTAGATTGAATTTGAACATGAATTTTAGTGGACTAGTAGGTATCATTATACTCTACATTGTCAATTTTTTTCAGAATTTTTCACAACTATTTGCATCAAATTTAGAGGAAAAAGGTATACGAGGGGATATCCCCTCGAGGGATTAGAATCACTCCCGGACGCCTTGCCCTGCGATGAGAGGCGATGCGCATGTGGATCCCCCAATTGGAATTGGATGGATCATGGACGGATGGATGTAGCCGCCGACACTCGTCTACTAAACGCTTCCTCGTAGACCTATACGAATGTGAGAATGTGCGAGGAGTGTGCCAGTGTGGTGAGGATGGGGCTGTTTGGTCTGTTGTTTATGTCAAGTTGCTGTTGTTCACGTCGGGGTACTAATAAAGTTTGATGATACCATTAGAACCACCAAATCATTCGGTTTGGTGAGTAACAACAGATCGGTACTCCTACTGCTCGAGTTTTGAGCTACTGTCGGCGCTTGTCAGTGTAGTGCTACTGCTTGCTACTACATCGAGTGAACCTCAGGCCTCGAAGAAATTGGGCGAAATTTTCGGGATCTGGAAGTTCGGCTCCGCTGGCACAATCACACACAGCAAGCAGATATGATGCTGAAAATGGCCCAATCACAAGTCCACACAACAGAGCAAGAGGGGATGGCATCATGGCAACAATGTTATCTTTGACACAAGAGACAAAAGGCTAGAAGAGTTCGATAGCTGGCTGCACGGTTTCATTGACACGCAGCAACCTGGCTTCACGTGGTCAAGTTCACTTCACTGCTTGCTCTATGGAATAATAAAAATAAAAAGTCTAGCTTCCATCAGTTTGCAGGTCATGTGTGCGAATACCTGGCTAGCAAGTTATGGGAAACGAATTTGTAAACAGGCGTATGAGTACAGAATCTCATGGCATTTCTCCCCGTTTCCATCGTAATCACTCTTCTCGGAGACGGAAGTCCATGCCGAAATCAACACCGTCACGGTCATGGGGGTGTGCATGAAAGCTGCAGAAAAGAACCACTGGTTATTAGGGAATAATAGAGGAAGAAACTTTTTGCTTGTTCTGTACAAAAAGAAACAGATAAGAAAAATAACTTTAATCCAAGGAGGAATTATGGGATTCTACACGCATGTAACTTTAATTTTAGTACTACTACTGAAATGGCTGGCCTAATTTCTGCTGCTGCAACTGCAGTACGCCAGTACGTCTGAAACTGCTGCTGCAGATGCCAAATTACAGATATATGATTATCTCAAGTGCTACAGTACTACTCAACAATCGAAGTACAATGTACACCATGATAAAGATCGCTAAAGGGAAACTATGCAAGGACTTACATAGTTCAATCAGTGATCAGCATGAACTATCCTCACCACCATACAGAGTGTAAATTCATCAAGCATCAGTATTTCAGTGTTCTGTTCACTTAAACAGCATGTTCAAAGTCAAAAGATTAAAATTTCAAACAGTCAAACAAAAAAAATCAAGCAAGCTATTTGGGATGTTTTGACTACTAAATCATATGGCAATTCTGAGATACATTTTGTATGTTTACCACAGAACTGAGGTATTGGTATTTATCAATGGTTACCCATGGATCATACTTCTCTGAACAAGCGGCTATTACTTGCACAAAGCTACTATACACTGTAGTGAGATAAATCACTAGTTTGACATACATTGGAGAGGCAGACCCCTATTGAGAAAATATTCTCAAAGGTTTTCTCCATTACACATGTCCACGCCTCACTAAGTAGGTTAATGAAAAACCCCATTATGACTAAACAAAGTACTGATTAAAAACAAACAGTCCTAGTGGCACAGAATGAATAAAGCATGGCAACTGTTAGGTCCAAAAGTGCTCTTTGGTAGGGTACCCAATTATTGGATGTTAGACCTGAGTAACACCTATCCACAGAAACGGGCTAGCATGAACTAATCGGATAATTGTCGGCTCGTCCTTAATGAAAGTATCAACACAAAATTTGTATCCACTAAAAATTGGAAAATTCAATCACATTATTTCCAGAACTTATAAAATGTAAATTCCATAAACATCCACAGCGTAGATCCAAGCGCAGATTCACAACAAACAGCAATAGGGATGCTGCTTGAATGTGCTGAATTTTGCCCCAGAAACATGAGGAAGAACTATTGGGGCATGCTTGCACAATTTTGAACTCAGAGAACAGACATAGACAGATTAAAGACGAGAAATTAGCTAAAGCTATTGTTTCTTGGCCACTAAAACTGTTTAAAAAATGTACAAACACACACTCAATGTTATCAAAGCACACTTCTGAACTACAGCATTGATCATTGATCAGGGCCAGAACTCAGGTCGATCTGCTGCTTTTGCATGCAGGTGGTGTAAAAACCTTTGTTCCTTCATAATACAAAGGTGCGCAATCCTTTTGCACATTCTCTAAAGGGGTAAGAACTCAAAAGTCGGGACTAATTCTTATACATCAAGCAATCCACATAACATCATGAATTCATCCAAATGAGCAGATAATCAATTCAGGGAATCCATAATCTAGATTACCCCACAAAATAACAGGAAAAACAATACTCAGGATACACCTCAAGTTTTGGAGCAAACCTATGTGCTCATTCAATTCCAGAAGGATATTAAATGCATTCCAATCTCATTACAATATCAGGCAAATGCATCAGAAAGTTGGATCATAACAAAAGAAAATTCAAGCCCCCGTTTGTATCAGTAGATCCAGTATGCAAATTTCATAATCAGAACTAAGCATCCTGATCTATTCAGTTCTAGTATAATTAGCACGGCCAATAACGGTAAGTATTGGGGAGAATTGGAGCAAAGGATCAAATCCGCTACCTCAATTTACTTTCGGATCGGGCATGGGGAAGAGGCCCCCGCCGGCGGCGGCCGCGGCGCGGGGCGGCGCGAAGCCGAGCAGCTTCTGCAGGTTGGTGCGGATGCTGATGGAGCAGAGGAAGTAGAGGAAGACCATGGAGCAGTCGGTGGGGTCGTTCCCGGGGACGCCACGGTGGCTCATGCGCTGGACGAGCGGCACCGGGGCGAAGGGCAGCTTGGCGACGGCGCGGCCCTCGAAGAGGGAGTTGAGCAGGCCGAAGACGACGAAGAGCACGGCGGCCACGACGGCGCCGGACTTGAGCTTGGAGAGCGACAGCTCCCGCGCGGCGTCCTTGAGGCTGGTCTCGACGCGGTCCATCTTCTTGGCCCGCGACGAGGAGGAGCCCGCGGGCTGGGAGGACCCGGAGGCGCCGGCGCCGGCGGAGGAGGAGGACGAGGAGTTGGAGGCGCCGGCCTTCATGGCGTCGAGCTTGCGGGAGTGGCGCTCGATGGTGGCGCGGAGGGAGTTGTAGGTGGCGGTGCGGTAGATGAGGAGCCAGGAGATGGCCTCGCAGAGCACGGCCGTGGCGCCCGAGATCGCCACCACCGAGAGGCTGTCGCCGTAGCGCAGGGAGGACAACGCCGACGCCATCGATCGATCTCTTCGCCGCCGACGCCGACGCCGACGCCGCCGCCGGACGGGGAGGGAGTCGCCGGCTTGGAGGACGGGAAAGAGATCTCGATTTGGCTGCGGAGAGTTTTTTTTTTTTTCTCTCTCTCTTTGGACTTAGCGGCGGTTGGCCCCAGCCGTATGGAGGTTGTGGATTGACTGCGGTGGGGGGCAGGTATAGAGGTGGCCAAACGGGCGGCCCGGCCCGGCACGGCACGGGCACGGGTCCGGCACGGCCCGTTTCGGCACGGCCCGTTAGGCATGGCTCATGAAACGGGCCGTGCCGTCCCGACCCACGTGCCGAGCCGCCGGCCCAAGCACGGCCCGTGGATGGCCGGGCCGTGCCCGTGCCGGCACGGCATGCGTGTGGCCCGCCGTGTCAGTACGGGCCCGTGAATGAAAAATGGGCCGTGGACGGGGCACGGTTGGCCCAGGAACCGAAATGGCGCGGAGGGATGCGATGCGGACTTGCGGAGGTGGCTGGCGGGCTGGGCCATCAGCTAGGAGGGGTGCTCAACGGACTTGCGGAGGCGGCTAGCGGGCTGGGCCGTCAGTTGGGAGGGATGAGATACGGACTTGCGGAAGGATGAGATGCGGACTTACTACAGTAGCCGTGCCGTGCCGTGCCGGCCCGCGGGCTCGGCCGGCGGCCCAAGCACGGCACGGCTACTCGTGCTGTGCCGGCACGGCCCGTTACTGTAGCAGGCCGTGCCGGGCCGTGCCGGCTACAGGTTCCGCCGTGCCTCGGGCCGCCCGTTTTGGCCCGGCCCGTTTGGCCACCTCTAGGCAGGTAGGTGGCTGACGTGTGGGCCATGCTCGGAGGATTTCCCTAGCTAGAGATTGATCCGGCAAACTATAGTTTTAACTTAGTTTATACAGAACTAATATGAAATTCCAAGATCAGGCCATTGTACTGATATGAAGTCGAAAAATACAAGAAAAGGGTTGGCATGTTTCTGGGGATCCTGAAACAAGTTCTACTTGCAAATTTAATCTTTTATTTACTACATCCATCTCATAATATGATATATGCATATATATTAAGAATCAACTTTTAAAAGGTTTGGTCAACAATTAGTATAATATGAATTGGACTTTATTTACTGAAAATAATATCATTGATTTGATATTTTAGTTTACTTTATATGGTTATAATTTAGTTGTTATAAAATTATAGTATATGAGAAATTATAAATCAAAAATTAATCTTGGAGAAAATACATTCTTCTTGTTAAGTTTGGAGGAAAAACAAAGGATTTGGATTACTAAGGATTAATTCCTTTGGGTGCCATTTGGTTTGTAGGAATGTAAGTATAGAAAACCATTAGAAATTTTTCCTTCCTAGAAGTTGTAGAGAGAAATCATTTGAAAATTTTCATCAACTCATACCTTTTTTTAAAAAAAATAGATTAAAGTGTACATGCATTCCTATTTCTTTTTTTTCCTATTTATAGGGGTTAAAATTCCTCTAAATTGAATAAACCCTATTCTGTTGACTTGTTGAGTGGCACAGTGTTGAGATCAAATGTCATGGTAATTTGATACAAAGCATTTATTCCTGACGTTATTTGTACTACTCCTATATATTTGCGTGCTTATTTTTTTTCCGAAGGAAATGAACTGAGAAACTTGGTATCATATTCGAAGGCCCAAGAGAACGAAGGTGGTAGCTTAGCTCTCCTACAAAGCTTCAAAAGAAAATAATGTCCTCTTCGAAGGGCAGAAGACTAGTGCAGCAGATTTCACCAACCGAAGACTGCAAGGCCTTCACGAACGCATGTAAAAAGGGCCTAAAAAGGAATTGAAATATCGAATTGAGGGAGAAAAAGCATACCGAACTATCCAATTTCTATCAAGTTAACATATCAGCCACAGAGAGGTAGGGACTTCATCCCATTCCTATGAGCAAGCAACACATTCGTGGTTCCTCTGAAATGTCAGAACTCAGAAATATCAGAAGAACCAGATTGATCTCCTAATGTCTCAAAAGGAGATGTGAAAGAAGAGTCCACAAATTGGACAGTTTGGTAACTGATTAACCTAATGCTAGTAGTGACAGTAGACTAATCCATTGCCAGGGACTGTTCAGATTTCAGAAAAACAGAGGAAACTTTTACTCCTCTGGAGCCATCCCGTTTGCTGTAGTAAAATGGTGGAGGTGTCGATGGAATTGTCTGATCCTATTCTTTTTTTTTTCCCTACGCAGCGTCAATATCTGGATATAGCGCAGCTGCGCGTAGTACTCGTACGCAGCGTCAATATCTGACTCGTCGGCGAAGAGGTAGCCGCCGCGGCCGCGGTTGAGGAGCCGCACGTACTGGCCGTTTCTCGAACGGCGCAACCGCCACGCCAAGCCCCCGCGTGGGCCGCAGCACGCCACCGCGCATGAGGATCGGCGACACGCCCAGCCCCGCGGGACGCAGCAGGTCGAGGATCGACTCGAAGCCCCCGCCCGCGGCCACGCCCACGCCCCGCGGTCCGCGGATCCGTTCGGCCCCGGGCTCCAGCTGCGACCTGCGAGGGCTGTCACCTGCCGGTCGACGAGCTATCCCCCGGGCTGCACCGCGTGCGCATGGGCTCCAAGATGAAACGTGGCCACTGGCCACGGCCTCCCTCCGGCCGCTCCGGCGCCGACACGCCTCACCAACCGGATCGCGTGCGGTTTCCTGCCCGCGTCGCCGGCGAGCGGCGAGCGAGAGAGAAAGGGGAAGAGAGAGAGAGAGAGAGAGAGAGAGAGAGGCGAGGTGTTTGTTGTTGCGGCGGTTACCGCCGAAGCGCCGAGGCGGGGCGGCGAATCCGATGTGGCGGTCGCCATTCACTGGCATGCGGGGCCCACATTTTGGGGCTTGTGGAGGAACGAAACGGCGGGGAGGAAAGCTGGCGGCGGCGCGGGCGGCGAGTTGGCGAGTGTGCTCTCGTTCCAGACACCGCCAGGTGGGGCCACGGAAGCTAGGAACCCCGTGTAGGGCTTTGTTTGGATAGGCCGAAACACCGGCCCATCTCGTCTGTAGGCTGGAATTTTGGCGAAAATGTCGCGTCCGAATTTTGGCTCATCCAGACAAAAGGCCGTACCGATCTGCCCGTAGCAAGCACACGTACGATACGAGACGACGAATCAAGTCTGACTTGTACGGGAACGGAGTAGAAGAGCCGATTCCGACTCATTTTTTTTCTTGTTCTGATGAAACGATACATTGTCGTCGTCTTCGATGGCTCAAAGCTCAATCCGGCATCGGGCAGCTGCGGCGAGGAAAATCCACCAAGGCACCAACCACCGGCGTGCTTGATTCCAATCGATCGCTTCGGTGCTGGCTGCTGGGTACAATACAATGGCGGCGCCGGAAGCGGAAGGGAAGGTGAGGCGGACGAGGCGGCTGACGCCGGAGCAGATCGACCGCGCCATTGCCTTCGAGAGGAGAGGCCCTTCCGGTCGAAGCTCCTCGACATGCTCGACGTCCCCGGGAGCGTCATATCGACGACGGCATGAAGCAACACCTCAGGGAGACCCTCGCTAAGGCCGCGCGGCACGTGGAGAAGACGCACCACATCAGGATGGAGTACGAGGAGAGGGTGCTCCGCCGGTTCGTCTTGCACGGCTACGTCGACGTCACCGATAACGAGGACGATCAGGTGGGAGACGACGACGACGACGATGGCGACGATAAGGATGATCCACCGGCCTCCTTGATCCGTCCCCTAAGCTCGGCTCCAGTGGATACAGTGGCGGACCCGAGGATTTCCCTAAGGCCCGGACAAAGTTAACTGTTATCCCCAAACTTCCGATGGTGGCACGCTAGCTGATGTATGATGAAACTAAGAAGTGTACAATAGTACAAATTTAATTGTGGTCCGAAATAGAAGTACAAGATATCCTTTAGGGATGTACTAATAAGTAAGATGGGCAGCGGAATGCAAGTGTGACTTACAAAACGTACGCTCGAAAAATGAGGGACTTTCTCTCCATCTCTCAAACGCAAGTTTATATTTATCATGGCAAGGCAAATTAGAACGCTTCTCTCAAACGCAAGTCTCTTTCTATCGTGGCAAGGCAAATTAGAACGTTGGTGCTCACGTGTTCCAGAGGGCAAGTCGCAAATTGGTACTGTACTAGGTTTTTATTTTTAAATTGATTTTATACGGATCGACAAGGCAATGAAAGAGCTTCATAAAAACTGACGGGCAACAGTGTATGCACAAGTCTACAGCATTCAAAGCTTTGATAGCTCTCCTACAAAGCTTCATAAGAAAACAATGTCCTCCTCGCGGGCGAATTGCAGTATTGCACAGACCGAAGCCTGCAATGCATGCAGGAAGGCAACTGAAAGGGCATAACATAAAAAAGGATTTGAGGGGAAAAAAATGCATACTGAAGTATCCAATTTATAGCAAGTCACAGAAACAATTAACAGAGAACTAACGACTTCAGCACATTCCTATGAGCAAGAAGCATACTCATAGTCATACTTCCAGCGAAGTGCCAAAAACATCAGAAGAACAAAGCCGTCTCCTAATGTCCAAAAGAGTTGCGAAAGAATCAGTCCAGGACTGTTTTTTTTTTTTTGGTAACTGATTATCTTATTGCTAGTAGTGACAGTAAACTGATACATTGCCAGGGACTGTTCAGAAAAACCAAAGGGGACTTTTCTAATCCTCCAAAGCCATCATGTTGCTGTAAAATGGTGGAGGCGTCGACCACACTGTCCAGGGGAGGCCGGGAGGGGAAGAAAGTGTTGCCTGGTCCTATTCCTATCCTTTTCTCCTATGCAGCATCAATATCTGGAAAGCGCAGCCGCCTGTACCCTGGTGTCACAATGTCAAAGGTGAATGATCAGAATTAGGAATCCAGAAAACAAATTACATTTACTGAGTGATACAATCAAATAATTTATGTTACCGATACAGTTGCACAAGACATAATAACACTATTCCATTTCTAATAATAGGAGTAGGAGAGGGCTTGACCTCTCTTTCTCAAAAAAGAAAAGCACAGGGCATAAGCAGTGAGAAAATAGCTCCTTATTTTTAAGATTCCTAAATTAGATCACCAGCATATACTTCAAAGTAAACAGCGGAATGTTGAATGCGAACAGATAACAGATATGGAGTACACGATACAGCATGAAAGCAGGCAAAACCCATCAGCATGAAAGCAAATTTAAACATTAGTTTTCTGCTAGACTAATTCTGTTGTATCAGCGTAGGTATTAATGTGTATTGACTTCTCTTCACCGACATGCTGGATATACCTTTTCTATAACTTTCTATAATCACACTTCCCAGTGGTAAAACACACAGCTAAACAAAAAAAATGTCTGACAGTGTGATGAAAGTTTGGCAAAACAAATAGCTCCCTATTTCTGACAGAAGAACAATAGTGTGCAGAAGACTGAATGGGTGAGTTCATCAGTGAGAAGTTTCTCACCTGGTGTACCAACCATGAACACCACGACCTCGAAGTAGTCAAGTTCACTGGGAAGATCAGTGAGCAGAGGGAAGGGCTGCCCAAGACTGCCTGCTCGAATAAAGATGGACATGTTCCGGAAGCGAAAGTTGCTGCCGAGTCGATCTTCCAGGACACTGCCCAGTTCAATCAGACTCCTTCCAGGGACCGACAGATTTTGCGGGCCCGGGATATTGAAGTTCCCATCATCATCAGCCACCCTAACACCGACTTGTATCTCTCCAGAGCCTCGGCGCTGTAGCCCACAAAGCTGCTTATGCAAATTTGAAGAAAGATGTCAGTGGACAGTGAACACAGAGGTATAAAAACAGACTTGAACACAGAGGTATAACTTGACATAGATGACACAAATAGTGATCTCATTTATAAGAACCCAATTCACCAATTGACATCTAAAGAAGAAGGAAGCTACTTTTGCTTCAAAGACATTCAATCAAAAACTTTTCGACAAAACTAGCTGCTCGTAATTGACTTTGCAGTTACAGAAAAGGTGCAGTAAAAGAACTTATCAGTACGGACAACCAATTGTAGTAATCACTTACTGATCCTATCATCAGAACTTAATTCCAAGCAAATCTATCATCAGAATTTTATCAACCAAAGAACATAATCTGTAACACAAGTTGAAGCTACTGCAGACCAGGAATCAGCAACAACTAGTCCGTTAATCTCTGAACTAACAGAAGAATTAGCCACAAGAGGCAGACTAGAACTATGTTAGTGGACACAGAGGAATAGAATAGACTTGCAAATGAGCGCTAATTCGGCATAGATGCATCTCATTTAAGAACCCAGTCCACAAATTAACACCTGAAGCAAGAAGGAAACTACTTTTGCTTCAAATAATTTTAACCAGAAACTATTCGGCAACAGCTAGCTGCTTGCAACCGAGTTTGCAGTTACAAAAAGGTGCAGCAAAACTAGAGTCCACAAATTTTGTCAATACTACCGACCAATTATAACTACCACTGAATGATCCTATCGTCAGAATTAGTTTCTCCAAAGAACCCAATCATTAACACAAGTTGAAGCTTATCGCAGACCAAGAATCAGCAAGAACAAGAACAAATAGATTTAGATCAAGTGTAAAGGTTTGAAGAATTGACCACAACAGGCAGAATAGTATTTGCACAACTAACAGAGCATGGCAATTGGCAGAGCAAGTCTTTGATCACACAATACCTAGAACACATACGTCTCCACAAATTTCGCGCAACAGAAATGGTAGAAAGAGCACTTCTATTTGCAATAATAGCCGAACAGATCAATCGCCGATCAAGTTTGCAGAATCACCAAGAACTGTGCAAGAAATGAGGGTGCGGGTAATGAACTCACCCATGCTGCTCCTCCCACCTGGAACGGTGGCCTCTGCACCCTCGTGGGGATGACCTGAACCTCCCACTCCATCATCGAGCTGAAGCGCGCGTTGAAGCGGTCGATGCACTGGAGGCTGACGCCCGTGTTCCAGCGTTGGTACTTGCCGTTGGTCCGGAGGGCCCTCAGACCTCCATTGAACGAGCTCGCGTTGATGAGAACAACGCCTCCGCCTCTCGGGCCCGGGACGGTGCGCCACATGACGTTGGTGTCCATCGTCTCCAAGACGCGCTGCGTGACGAGGATGCCGATGTGGCCCTCGTCCGCGCCCAAGGGCGTGCCGGCGACGTAGCGGCCGTAGGCGCCGCGGAGCAAGATGTGCGGGGTGTCTCCCCCCAGGATCTGCACGCACCACACGGTGTTGATCAGCCCGCGGCGGCAGTCGGTGCGCACGCGCACCCCCGACTCGTCGGCGAAGAGGTAGCCGCCGCGGCCGCGGTTGAGGAGCCGCACGCACTGCCCGTTCTCGAACGGCGCCACGCCAAGGCGCGCGGGCCCGTCGCCGGACGACGCGAAGCAGATCGAGTTCAAGCCCACGCCCGCGCCCGGCTGAACGTTCGTCCCCGGGCTCCAGCAGTGAGGGCTGTCGCCTGTGCTCGTCGACGAGCTCCCGCCCGTGCTGCTGGACTCCGTGCCGAACATGGCTTCCTGCCCTCGTCGCCGGCGAGGAGCGAGCAGCAAGCGAGAGAGAAAGGGGGAGAGAGAGAGAGAGAGAGAGAGAGAGAGAGAGAGAGAGAGGCGAGGTGTTTGCTGTCGCGGCGGTTAGCGCCGAGGCGGCGTCGGGTTTAAATAGGCTCTCGGCGACGAGAGAGGCGGGCGGCGAATCTGACGTGGCGGTTGCCGTCCACTGACATGTGGGGCCCACATTTGGTAGGCACAGGGAGACACGTCACCTGCGTGGAGCCTGGCTTGCCGAGGAAGGAAACAGCTGCCGCCTGCTGGTCCCGTCCTGTGCGGCGGCCGCTCGCAGACGACGGCGGCGGAGCGTCGCGGCCGCGGCCGTCCGAGCCTCCCGTCGGCGACGGGATTCTCTTCAGCAAAGCCCATGGCGCCGGTGTTTGGAGGGAGTTCTTTGGACACCGGACACGGGCACGGGGCACCCAGACCGGCCGGAAAGGCGGACACAGACTGGCCTCACCGCGGCGGCGCGCGCGGGTGGCAGCTGCTGGAGCGACGGGCGATACGGTGGATTAACACACAACGCAAGTGATGGGCCTGGTGAATTCTGTGAAAGACAAAAAAGTTCAGTTTTGGTCCTTATTTAAGGACCGAGTTTCGATCAAGTCCCTCAACCGCAAAAAATTTACAAATTACAACACATCCCACATCTATCAAAATTCAAAACCAGCGTAAATGTAGTCCTAAGATAGTTTAGACATTGCTTACAACCAGAAAAGAAAATAGCGAGACCCAATATCAATAACATGAAAAAAAAACATGGGAGACACATGTCATCAATTCCTTCATTCTTTCCTTTCCTCTGGGGATCTAATTTGGTCTTCATCCACCTATCACTCTTGGCAGGATCGAAGGGGGACTGCACCGGCGAGAGCTCAACGACGCGTTCGTTGACCACAAACTACTCGGCGCATGGCGTGGGCGGGCTTTAGAGCTCCATGCCTCTACTGCTTGATGAGGCTGGCCTCATAGGAGGACAGGAGGCGCAACGCCGCTACAGCACCATGGCGACAAATATTGACGCTATGGAGAAATCTTCGTCGAGGCCATCGGGCCCATGGCAGCGAACAGGTGGGCGATGAGTCGACGATGCCACCGCCGAAGGTGAAGGGGTCAATAGCAGTAGGTTAGGAGCAATGGATCGAGAAGGAGTAGAGAGGGCCGGACAAGGCGGGCCTCGTCGATGTTGTTGAGATGTCTTCCGGCAAGCTGGCGAGGCCAAGTGGTGGCGGTAGACAAGACGACAGCGCATCGAGCAGACGCTCAGGTGTGCGACGCTGAGGAAAAAGGAAAAGAGAAAGAAGGGATCAGGGTTTGGGTTTGAAGCCATCCAATGGTCTAAACTTACAAAAATTTGAGAGGTGTTGTTTTGTCAAATGTATGATCGGTAGTCCTCTATGCTAACGCGAGAACCTTATCTGTATCTTAAGCAGTCAATCTCATTTAGCTGTAATTTGAATGTTGGATTGGATTGGATTGAAACTAATGTTATTGTCTCTTTCTTTATTTATAAAACAAGAAGACATTTATTTCCTATCATGTCTGCTATATTTCATTTGAATAAACACTAAAGTGATGATACTTTTCACTAGAACATGATGTTAGTACTACCTTTACTCTTTTAGCGTTAGTATTTGATTTATTACTAAATATTATACGAAACAACACACGTTGATGTTATATAATTGAGTGAAAGTATAGCATATTAGACATATAATTTTTAAAAAAAATTAGAACCTAAAGCCTCGAATTTCTAGAGATGTTCCTGCACTGTGAGTGTGTGACACCAATTAGGTGTCGCTGAAGCTCTAGATGAGACTGGCACATCAATTTGTTTGCCACTAGTGAGTGTACGTTTTTATAAAGTTTCTCCCAAGCAGTATGTTTATGCAAAAAGTTTTGGTAAACAATATATCTTTTTAAAAATCTCAAATAAATTGTGGGTCTAAAGTATAAAAAAGTGTGACAAAGCCACGAGGTGGTAAATACTCATCTATCTTAAAATATTCTTAAAATATAGCAATTTCTATGGATAGACTAGAAATTAATCTCTCCTTCTACTTTTATATATGTTGGTGGGTTATTTTTTTAATAATAGCTAACGAACATCATACAAAAGTGTAACGAATTGACGCTTAACAACAAGTCTAGTAGTATAGCTAACTATTGGCTATTAGCTCATATTAAAGTTAACATGTATAATAGGTTAACTATAAAGTTGGCTCTATTTTTTTTTCTCTACTATCTATTTCTCTTACTATAAATTTAATTAATGTAAATATTTTGGAATACGTGTATAGTTAACTCTTTCATGAGAGCCAACACTTCTCTTTTATTTTATGAGCATTAATTGCTAGACGTACTAAATTTCTTTTATAAAACTCTTATAAACAATGATCTCAACCATTTGATTCAAATAGATGAAAGTTATAGAAAATCTAGATATACTCACAGCGTAACACGTAGTGTCATTAAGAATTTTGTACATATATACTCTTTTTTTTTAATTTCTCTCTTTCATATAAGCTTCGGGTATCTCAAACATAGTTGTTGGATGGACGCTTAGGAGAAAAAAAACTGGGTTTTTTTTAAAAAGAATCGAACCAACGCGACGCTAAGAGCAAGTTCAATACTATAGCTAACTACTAGCTCCAAATCACCTACAGTTAACTTAATAGCTAATTCATCAATAGTAGTACTGCACTATTAATACATGGTCACACCTATCATACACATGTTGTGTCTTGGAGCCGTATTGCAGCTGGCTACAAAGCCCGCTGCTCTTTTCTACCATATTTTATTTTCTCGATATATGTTTATAGCTGGTATATAGTCTCCTATTATACCTGCTCTAATCCATGGCATCGCTGCTGCACGAGGGGCTGGTGTTTAAAACTTTAAATCAGTGACGAAGTAATTTTCGTGCAGGCCAATGATAGGCTCCAACAATTCTATGCGTTTGAGCCGTTGTGAGAAAGAGGATATTCCTCTCATTCTCTGTGCACATGCTTCACAAACTGATAAACGGTGTGTTTTTTTAAAAAAAATCTGTATAAAAGTTGCTTTAAAAAAATCATTTTAATTCATTTTTAAAGTTTAAAATAGTTAATACTTAATTAATTATGTGCTAATGCACCCGTGCATTAGAAACGTCTGGCTCTTATCTAGGGTGCTTAACTTTGATCACATTCTAAGCACCTGTATAAACACTTAGCATTGGAGATGCCCTTTGCTCTAATTAGTTGATTCACTCTCTCTTCTTCTTCTTCTTCTTTTTTTTTTTTTTTGGCAACGGCTGCATGCATATGCAATGGCAAAACATGATACTCCATCCCTTCCATGCATTGCAACATGAAGCCCTTAATTGGGGCGTTTAACTTTTTTTTTGATTTTTTAAACGTCCATGACTTGGCGAAGACCACGACACACACGGTTCGCGTTCCCTTCTGGCTGGCGTCGCACGGGAGACGGGATGAAGGGAGCAGTCGTACTTCTTTCTCGAGTCGGTTTGGGCTTCCAAGCCGAACCACCTATCCCGCGCATCCCGTTTCCGTTCCGACTACTCTTCCTCTTCCCCCTCTATATATCGTTCCGCATCGACAGCGATCCCCTTCCCCAACACCAACGCAACGCCTCGCGTCGCGTCGAAAGAAAAGGTAAAAGGCGAAGAAAATTAGCAGAGAGAAAAAAGAAAACTCTAGGTCAGCCATGGCGACGGCGCGGCCTGCTCCATCGTGGGGGTTGCTGGATAGCGTGGTTCGTCTCCACATGGTGGGTGAGAGGACGGAGCCGGATTGGGCGGTCATCGAGTGCTCGGAGACGAGGGCTTACGTCACCCTGTACAACTGGCACGACCGCCCCGACGGGACGTCCCCGTTCAGGCTGTCGCCGTTCGACGGCCTGGAGCTCCTCGTCCGCGTCGCCGACGACCCTCCGTACCCCACCGCGCTATCCATCCGGCTCCACGGCGACCCCGACAAGGACGTGCGGCGCGGAACCAAAAAAATATATTTGAAAACTATCATATCAAAAAGTGTATGTTGGAAACATGCGTGCGCTGAATAGCAATCCTAGTAATGGAGAGTCCACATAATGTGTAAAAAATGTGCATGTTCCCTGCAAACTTAAGGTTCAACTTTACTTATGCGAAATTGCGGATAGGAAAAAAAAACTGTTTCTACGGATCGCAAGACTATGCATTATCCTCGAAAAACAATTTATACCTTGCATTGTAGCATTTAGAATTTGTTCCAACATATAACAACTTTATATTTAAAATCTCTTCCCAACCAATTACAATTTTCCACCATTTATTTATTTTTTCATCCACTTCCTCTCTCCCATGTTTACTTACATATGTTTTTGATAACCATGTCCAATCTCAAAACTTCTTATCTTTTAAAACGGAGGTAGCAAGGCACATTCTTCTCATGATGTTAGATCGTCTTTCCTCATGTAAACAAGTACCATGGACAGTATCCTAATGTACAAGTTGTATATTTCTCATGTAATTTCAAAGGTGTTAGTTCTTCTGGTATGTATAATGACCATTAAAATATCTAACATGTAATAAGACATCGCGTTGTAACTTGTAAGACGTGTATACTCTTGTTACGATATGCGTGTTTTTATTAGATAATGGAATTAAATCCAGCCTATTGTGAGACACGTGTAGTCTGCTTGTACTCATGAGTTGTCATCTTAGATAGATGGGGACCACAAAAATTGGGTCAAATGGTATATACGCGCGCATTACTTTTGAAATATTGTTTATTGATGTTAGTATTATCCCAAAAGTGCATTTATTTTAAAATATTGTCATGTCAACTTTATTAATGTTATCATTCTCACAAAGTACACTTTATTAATGCCAATATTCTCACAAAAGTGCACGAGTTTGTTTGCAGCATTGAGAAAGATGAAGGTTAGTCCCATTAACAAGGTATTTATAGTTTGAACAAAAAAAATATTATGTGCATCATGTTTGACAGATTAACACTTAAAAACAATTCAAAACAGGCTTTAAAACATGCGAGTAATCCGCAAATTAAATCTATTCTAAAAGTAAGATTTTGTATATCGCTCTGATATATCAACATACCACCATTCCATTCAATCAACATAAAAATGTATACATAATGAAAATATTACTATGTTTTTAAACTGTACAAATTTTTAGTGTTAAAGCCGTGAAAAGAAAACACGTGTAAAATTTTGAAAAATCTGGCATTATGATGGGAGGAAACCGAAGGGCAGCAGTCGCCTGAAATTTAAAAATAAATGCTTCCATGGAAACGCTTAATTCCCCATTTTAAAAATAAATAGGGAATTTAACCTTGCCACGTCACCGATCCGCGCCTCCCCCAGACCAGCCAATCACAGCCCGCCTCCCGCTCCAACCCTAACACTATAAAACCGCGGCGCCGCCCGCCTCTCCCCTCCACCGCCTCTCTCCACTCTCTCTCTCTCTCTCTCTCTCTCTCTCTCTCCAATCTCGAAGAGTTCCAGAAGCTTCCAACCTTCGGCGGCGAGATGAGTTCCTCTCAGGGAGGCGGCGGCCGCGGCAAGGCGAAGACGACGAAGGCGGTGTCGCGGTCGTCCAAGGCCGGGCTCCAGTTCCCCGTCGGCCGCATCGCCCGCTACCTCAAGGCCGGCAAGTACGCGGAGCGCGTCGGCGCCGGCGCCCCCGTCTACCTCTCCGCCGTCCTCGAGTACCTCGCCGCCGAGGTAAACCCCATCCCTTCCCCTCCCGCTCGATCCGCGTGGGATCTTCCGATCTCGTGTCCCCCGAATCGTGTGTTCTGATCACCCATTGGCTGTGTTAATCGCAGGTGCTGGAGCTGGCCGGGAACGCGGCGAGGGACAACAAGAAGAACAGGATCGTGCCGCGGCACATCCAGCTGGCGGTGCGCAACGACGAGGAGCTGAGCAGGCTGCTGGGCACCGTCACGATCGCCGCCGGCGGCGTGCTGCCCAACATCCAGCAGGTCCTGCTTCCCAAGAAGGGCGGCGGCAAGGGCGACATCGGCTCCGCCTCCCAGGAGTTTTGAGCGGGTTTTTCTCATCGGGTGGATGAAGAGGGGATCGCCCTTTCGCCAATCTCTTGTCTGGATCGTTCATGCGATGCTTTTTTTTGCCCATGTTTCCGTGTGGTTGGGGGTGTTTGAACTTCGTGGCATGTAAAAAACTCTGGGTTCATTAAAGGTGGATGAATAGATGATATAAACAAGAAAGAAATGATGGCTTCTTATGCAAAAATGCTCTTAATCCTCTGTTTCACTGTTTGCAAGATTGATTGAGTGATTGCGTTAAATGGTTTCGCTAGGATACGGATGTGGATTGTGGGGCTCTTAGGATTGATCTCACATTCTTGTTATTGTATACGCATCAAAAAATATGCTCCTTCTGTTCATTTGCAGTTGTCTCGGATGCAGTTCTAGTAGTATGATCTCATTCTTTGGTCTCAGGGCACGTTTCTTACAAAGCATTCTCATTGAGTGACCTGCCCACCTAAGATCCTTAAGAACCATTGAATATACCAGGCTTCAGAGTTGACAGGGAATCAGGGATGCACTTACTCCATCAAAATGCAATAGTACTTCCATTCATGAAACCAAATGAATACTTGTCTGTTAAACATCCAGACTGAATATTTTGTGATCAAAGAAACATCCAGACTGAATATTCTGTGGCCAGTAACACAATAACACAACATCTAGACATCTACCGATCAATCTCTCGGTTTCTCACATCAGAGAGAAGAGACCTGTACACCATCTACTGATCAATCTCTCAATTTCTCACATTAGAGAGAAGACTTGTGCTAGGTACCTGACTAACAAAAGCGCCAACACTGCTAACTTTTGCAGGCTTGCAGTGTGCGTTGTAACTTAACTTGTAATTCGTGTTGCAGTGTGAGTGTCTGATCAAATTCCTGAATCCTGACGACTAATTCAACTGCGTTCAGTTCAGTTCAGTTCTTGTTGCTAAGGATGTTAGCCCTCATGGCCTCCAGCTCCGCCATGTTCGTCTCGACGGCGCCGGAGAAGGACGGCTCAGGGATCGGCTCCTCCGTCATCTGGGACAGCCGGACGAGGCTCCTGGTGGCGAGCACCGAGCGCGCGTCCATGGTCTCCGCGGCTCTCCAGTACATGCACTCCGCGGCGCGGGTGGCCTGCGTCTTCAGCTCGTCGGAGTTCGTCGGGCCCAGCAGGCAGTGTGCCACGATCCGCAGCACCGGCTGGAACAGCTCCCATGGCAATGGCACCCTCCGCAACTTCTCCTCGGCGGCGGCAGGCTCGGAGGCAGCCGCGACGCGCGGCTTGTCGTCCAGCTTGCTGCGGTTCCCGGTCCAGGCGACGCAGAACTCGCAGAATTCCATCTTGGAGGAGAGCGGCATGATGGCGAGCTTGCCGTGGTAGAGCTCCAGCACGGCGCCGACAATCCGGGCGCGGCGCGTGGCGCGCATGGTGCCGTGGGGCTCCAGAGCGGGGGAGAGCACGGCGACGTCGAGCTCGGCGGCCTTGGTCTTGGGCGGCACCTTCGCGTCGTGGTACACGCTGGGGTTGGCCAGGTTCGGCAGCGACACGGTCTCGGCCTCCCCGGAGCCCCGCTGCGCCGCGGCGTGCGCGTACAGCGCCAGGAGCACGGCCTCGAACCCGGCGAGCGGCTTCCTCGAGACGGCGCGGGACATGTACACGCCGGCGAGGGCCGGGACGAAGCGGAGCACGGCGAGCTGGATCTCCGGGAGGTTCGACTGGAACGCGTCGTAGAGCCACCGGCAGAGCCCGTCGTTCCCGGCGCCCGACCCTTCCCTGCGGAGGCGCCCCACCACGGCGCGGGCGACGCCGGCGTCGTGGAGGAGCGCGTTCGCGGGGTCGTCGGCCGAGGCGAGGGTGCCCGGGAGCGCGGCACCGAGGACGGCGGCGAGGGACTCCACGGCTGACTTGGCGCTCTGGATGGGCTGCGGCGACGCGTCGGACGTCATCGTCGTCGTCGTCGTCGGCGGCGGCGGCGGCGGCGTAGGAGGAGGAGATCGAGAAGTTTAGGGTGATCGCGTCGGAGGCGCGGCTCTGTGGTGGGGAAAGGAAAGCGAGAGATCGGAGGAGGAATAGGGGATTTGAGCGGGCGCGCGTTGTTTGGGCAAATGCATGGTTACACTTTATTAGCTTAATTAACAAGAGGTTAAGAGCAAATCAAGGGTGCAAGTTTGGGTTTGGCTCGCGTCACCTTGCTATTTGGAGTAATGCATCAATGCATCAGTAGCTCCTCGACCTTCCTTCTCCACTAGCATTGACGCTATAACTACATACGGCGAAATTGTGTAACACAATTTCATCACAGAAAATTAAGAATTTGTCATTAGCTTGTAAATATTCGCTCTGTTTCAAAACAGGCTATAAGTCGTTTTGATTTTGGTCAAAGTCAAACTGTTTCAAATTTAACAAATTTTATAAAAAAGGTAATATTTTCAACACAAACCAAATATATTATGAAAATATATTTTAATTGTAGATTTAATAAAACTAATTTGATATTGTAAATATTAATATATTTATCTACAAACTTGGTTTTGTTTGACTTTCACCAAAGTCAAAACAACTTATAATATAAACGGAACGGAGGGAGTACTCAACCAAGAAAAAACATGGTTTGACATGCGTACCTCAGTATAAAAGATTTCTCTTTCTTTTCTCCTTTTGTTATTTCTGGGTGCACCACAAGCATATGATCCTTATTTAAGTATGAAATTCCATCTGTGGTCTTGTGGTTTGTGTTTGAGAGAAGAGATGTTGTCATAGGTTTCTTTCGAGCTAATATGACTTCTCTCTTTCTAATTTGAAATGCTAGTTCCGATAAAAGAATGAAAATTAGCCATGTCGCTAATGGTAGTTATGCTGGGTCCACTGGAGGCCAATTTTAATTTGGCAAGAGTAGCGACTTATAATTATCTTGCAATTTAACATTGGCTTAGCCAATATCACCCAAAATTATGTAAAATCGTGCAAGTGTGCCTTTTGTTTAAGCCCAAGATGGTGTCACGGTATTTAACGCAAGAGATTTCCTTTAATAAACACTTTTGTACAAGAAATAAAATAGTGATGCTAGATGCCTAATCGAGTACCACGTCATCATGAAGTTTGTTATCACCTTTTCAATTAGTTGTAAAGAGAGTGAAAGAAAAACAAATACGACCTACATCTACTATGTATAATTGATTTGATTTTGTTGATGTTGTTGAGTTTAGCCTTGTGTTTCATGTGCCTACAAATTATGATGTACTTCAAAATTCAGTAATTCACTGACCAAACAATTCATCTATAATTTACATATCTTAACCAAACAATCCATATACACTTTATTAGTCTTGGCCAAACACTCCACTTGCACCTTGTAGATCTCATGTGATTTCAATGATATACTGTAATAAATAACCACGTCATATGGATACACAAACATGATGGACATGTATATGACAGATCGATATAAGTTTTTTTATGTGAAATTAACTCTACACGTAAGCGTGGTCCTTTTCGCTACTTCCACTTTGCGCGATGGTATTCAATACATGACATATTTGATGAACGATTTTCTCATTATATATTCCAATAACTTTATAGTTTTACAGCGGTGCAACTTAAAAGCCATCCAAATCGAGAATGCTCCCAGCAAGGTTCTGTGAGATTATTAGCTGTATCACAGCGATTCAGTTGTCCGTATCGTACGCGACATTATCTCTTATACAAATCATACGTGTGATCATCACTTTCAGCTACATATGGAGTGATTCATTTACCTGTAGATATTTTCTTTTTCAACTGACTCGACACACCAGAAAGCCAAAATCACCACAAGAACTTAAAAAGAGCCTCTGTTCTGTTCCATCTATTTTACCCCGAGATATACATGCTTCGCAGTTGAAAGCAGCGAAAAACGCAAACCGGATGGCCCTGACCGGCCGGCGTTAAGCCACCGGGCACCGGCAGCGTGGGACCCAGCCTGCCAGTGAGACGGTAGACCGCCGCTACGCGCACCCAGCACCGCGTCCCCAAAATTCGGCACCGGAGCGGCGGAAGGGAAGAGAGGAGAGGAGAGGTGAGAGAAGAAGACGAGAAAGCGAAGCTGCTTGCGGGTAGAGAGGGGTGCAGTCGAGTCGCCTCCCCGTCCGTCTCCGGGGTAAAAGCCTCGCCCCCGCCGCGCCATGGAGCCCAAGTCGTCGGCGTCGGCGGCTCATCAGGGGGGCGACGCGCCGGCCGAGGCGCCGCGCAGGCGCGGCGGCGGCGGGAAGCGCAAGTCGGGCGGGTCGTCGTTCACCCCGTCGAAGAGGCACGCCAAGGAGCGGAACGCGGCCTTCCACGTGCCCCCTCACCTGCTGCACAGCGGGCCGCTCACCCGCGCCGCGCGCCAGTCGCCGCACAAGCTCGCGGAGGAGGCGGCGGCCGCGGCGGCGGCGGGGGCCGGCGGATCGGAGGCGGGCGGCGGGAAGGGTGGCGGGGACGTGATCCGGCTCGAAGGGGAGGAGGCGCCCACCGAGGAGACGCCTCTGGTGGACGAGGTGTTCGAGGCCGTCCGATCCCGCGGCGCCGGCGTCCATGTGGTCCCTACCTTCGCCGGTGAGGCCTCTGCTCCCTAACAGCTCCGTGATCTCCTCTGTTGGGGTGGTGAATCCCGGATGCGCGCGACGCGACGGGTTTCCCTCTTTGTCGGGGCTGCTGGTTTGGATGGCGTCGGTGAATTAGTTCACTGCGAAAGTATATTCCCCCTCTTTTTACGCGCGTATGGGAGCAAACATTTAGCATGTAGCGGTGCAATTCGTTGCTTAACGTTGTTAGTTACTGCAAATCAGCTAAATTGGTACGCGTACTGTGCATACTGGAGTGTTAATTGCAGGAATTTTTGGTAGATTTAGCTCAATTTCAGGGCATGGTCATGCTGCTGATTTAATTTCTCGAGATAAGAATTTATTGCAAGCATTGCTTTCATTAATTTCAGCATATAGTGGCTATAATGTGTTTACTTTTGCTTGCTGTTGCCTGTTGAGGAAAATGAGTTCGAGCACTCACTGTTTTGCTTTCTTCCATGTGATTGGGGTGTGGCCTGTTCTCTTTTGAGATATAGTAGATGTAGACAAACCTAGGTAGTCAGCAGCTTTGGAGAATTACCTGATCTGTCCTCAGCATCCATCATGTCTTGTTTACTTAGATAAAATTTGGTGCAATCCCATTTGCTTAATTTCCTGCAATAACTGCTGCAAGCTTCCTTTTCAACTTTAGGTCCATGTGGAAATTTTGCCTTGTTGCCAGTATAGTCAGTGTATATCTTTCACTCTAGTGTGATAGAAACAATAGAATGCTAAAGTAAATCTTGATAATTCAGTAATCTTCCCTGTTTCTTGTGCAATTGCAGTAAGCCATGTTGCACTATAATTAATCCTTGTGTTCTCTTGTGCAATTGCAATAAGCCAGTAACTATATCGCACTATTATTAATCCTTGTAGCTGTATAACCCTAAATTTTCCTGTGACATGTAGCTTCTGTATATCAAGTCACACCAGTAACTGTTTTCTGTAGGATTTATCTTTGTATAACCCCTCAATTTCCTATGATATATGAATCCTGTCTATTCAAGGTATATTGTCAACCACATTGTGTGTTGAGCACATGAGCTAAACCGTTTTTAAATATTATTTACCACACAATTCATTCCATCGATTCATATTTTGTGTAAGAGATATATCCTTTTGTTTTGTATAAGAAGGCACAAAAATAACTCTGATTTTGTTCAGGATGGTTTTCATGGAAGGAAATCCACCCAATTGAGAAGCAAATGTTGCCTTCTTTTTTCAATGGCAAATCTGACAAGCGGACACCTGAGATATATTTAGGGATCAGAAATTTCATCATGTTGAAATTTCATGCTAATCCTCAGTTGCAGCTGGAGTCCAAAGATTTGGCTGAGCTATCGATTGGGGAGGCTGATGCTCATCAGGAAGTGTTGAAGTTCCTGGACCACTGGGGCTTGATCAATTTCCACCCTTTTCTACCAGCTGGACAAGAGGAGAGTAAGCCAGAGGAGGCCCATGGCAAGTCTCACAGTGAGGAGAAAGCTTCAGTGCTTGAACAGCTGTTTAAATTTGAATCAGTTCAATCATATATGATCCCTTTACCAAAGAAAGGGGAAGTGGAAACTCCAGCTCCTCTGCCTAGTTTGCTTCCTGATCCTGCACTAATTGAAGATGTAGTTTCAGCAGCCGAGCCCTCTGTTGAGTACCATTGCAATTCCTGCTCTGTTGATTGCTCAAAGAAGCGTTACCATTGCCGGACCCAGGTTAGGTGCTTTTGTTTGTATTTGCAACCCCTACTAAAATTCTCCATATGCAAGTCATTTATTTGAATCCATAGTGCAATCAGATGCATATTTATGTGGTGTCAGGTTAGAATTTTTTTTAACAACCAAAATATTTGCACTTTTCATTCTTATGTCTGAGACCTCTTTCCAACACACAAGAAATACAACTTGAGGATGAAACTTTAGTGTAATTCAACACCTCTGTTAGGCACACTTTTATTCTTCTCGCTACTAGAATCAGTGTTGTCTTAAAAACTTGATTCGAATTGATGTCATTAGCACCTATAACTTCCGACCTTGTCTGAACTGTATAAAGTTGATTATCAGAGTAACAAATGCTGAATATTGACCGCCAAAGTTTAGCCTTGAAAGACGTTGTTGCGTTTCATCAAGCACTGAGATTTATAGTACTCCCTCCTTCCCAAAATGATCATCATATATGTTTATGCACCAAGACCAAGGATAATTTAAATCATATCAATCAAGACACTATGCACACATTCTCCCACAATGCATGCATCAATCAAAACACCATGCCAATTACACCTTAGCATGCACACATTCTCCCATACTGCATTAATTGTATTATGATGAAATCCGTGTCCATGCGGTTATGTGATGATCAATTTGTGAAATTTTGAATTCCATTACATGATGATCAATTTGGGAAGGGGGGAGTAATACCAATGTTGGTATCTTGTGATTCAACTTCTCTATTGCCTGTTGCCCTGCACTGCTCATTTAATTGTGCTGTTTTCTTTCTCTTCAGTGAAATATTTGTTATAGCCGGTTTCTCCATTCCATTTCTTATGTGGTCTTCCAAAAGAAAATACATAATCACATCTTAAATCTGAAGTATGGCACGGTTTATTTTCCTTTCATTTCTACAGGCAGATTTTGACCTTTGTTCTGATTGCTACAACGAGGGAAAGTTTAATATAGGCATGGCAAAAACCGATTTCATCCTCATGGATTCTTCTGAAGTTTCTGGTGCTAGTGGTACTAGTTGGACTGACGAAGAGACATTGCTTCTTTTAGAAGCTTTGGAAATTTTTGGTGGAAAATGGACTGAGATAGCTGAACATGTTGCTACAAAAACAAAAGCTCAGTGCATGCTGCACTTCCTTCAAATGCAAATTGAGGACCGCTTTCATGGCGATGAAGATATTAATCAAAATATCCAGGAAAACACAGAGCAAGCTTCAGCAGAAAAAGGCGCTGCTGAAATACCTGATAAAATGGAAGTTGAAGAGAAAGCAGAAGGAAAAGATACTGCAGGTGAGAAAACTCCAGAGAAAGCAGAGGGCAATAGTGTAGAAGCACAAACGGAAGATGGAAATGCTATTGAAAATAAAGATGCCAATAATTCAGGTGGCACAGATTCAGTTAAATCTCTAAACACTGATGAGCCAAAAAAATCTTCTGATGCTGACCCACCGAAAAGTTCATCCGATGCTGAACCTGTAGTGAAGGAAAATTCTGTTGATGTTGATACTTCTCGTGAAAATGCATCAAACTTTGCTATTGATACATTGAAATCCGCATTTGAGGCTGTTGGTTACTTCCCAGAACATGAAGGTTCATTTGCTGATGCAGGAAATCCTGTTATGGCACTGGTAAGCATGCTACCCTTGGAAATTTATTATTACCATACAGTATGTACTGTCCGTAGGTCTAAAAATTGTTTTTGCAGGCATCATTTTTAGCTGGTCTTGTGGAAGATGACACTGCAACCAATTCATGTCGAAGTTCACTAAAAGCTATCTCTGAGGTTTCTCCTGCACTTCAGTTGGCAACTAGACACTGCTTTATTCTTGAGGATCCACCAAGTGATGTGAAAGACATGTCTGGCAATGCAAGGTCAGCAATGGTTGCACTTTTATAACATTGAAACGCTATCATGAGATTTTGCTGATGAGCTAAATGCAATTTTGCAGTACTACAAGCACAGATGGTGATAAAAGAAAAGACAAGGATAAGACTCAAGATTCAATTGATAGTGAAGTGGAAGGCATAAATAAAAAGGGAGAGACGGTTCTATCTGTTGAAGGGAAAAAAAGTTCTCCCATTTCACCAAAAGGCCAAGACACAGACAAAAAGGATGAATGTGATGAGGACCCCTCAGTGGATCCTAAACACAATAATGGTAAGGAGTCAGATGATCCTGTTTCTCTGGATAAAAGTGTGTCCAACAACAAAAAAGGTATAAACTCCAGTAAAGATTCAGTTACTCCACTGAATATTACAAATCAATGTGGTATGATAACTTCTCAAGGGTTTGTCACAGGAAATACCATGGAAACAAGTAATCCTGAAATGATAGAGGACAAAGCAAGTTCTGAAGTCAACCCTGCTGATGATTCATCTTTAGAAGGCAAGGTTGAGATGAAGAAGACCAAAGATGCAGTTGCTAATGCAACTACCGCACAGGAACAAAAGCAAAGCCAAATATTGGAAAATGGCAAGATGGAAGGTATTTCATCAAAACCTTTATCTGATTCAAGTACTACAATTCAATTAAAGCTTCTCATTATGTACTAACCCTCAAGGATTAAGTTGTTTGCGTGTCATCTTATTGCTGCTAACATTACCTAAGATTCTTCATGTTACTAAAGATCCATCATCCATCATAATAATTTGTTACCAATTCGTGGTTTTGTCTGAGAAGCATCACTAACTAACTTAAATTGAATATTTAAGATTTTACCAGCAATCATATTACTTTATCATGTTCTTCGTTCATTAATATTTTGTCTGATTGGTTCCTGCCTGCCTGGCACGAACCCACTCTGTTAACACCAGCAACACACACACACACACACGAGGGTAAATCTGTCTTTATCAGTATATGCAACCTTATATCAATTATCTAGCACCTCTCACTAAGATTTGCCTGATGAGGGATTTATGATGTAGAATCATAATACCACAGTGAACTATATGAACTAGTACTACACATACAGGAAATGCAAACACTGCAAAGATGGTGAAAACTGTGAACTTCAACTCTGGTCCTCTTACCTACGATACCTGTCCTGCAGAACCTAAGAGTACTGAAGATGTTGCTGCCGATGAAGAGAACAGCTCTAGAGTAACCGCCAACCTCACGGATTCCATAACTAGGCTGAAACGAGCAGCCGCTACAGCTATTTCTGCAGCTGCTGTGAAGGCAAAACTCCTTGCTGACCATGAGGAAGAACAAGTCCGTCAGCTGGCTGCGCTGATGATTGACAAACTGGTAATATGGAACCCCACTCGCTTTACTCTCCGAATGGTCCGTTCTGTGTTATGCGCCTCTAATGATTTTTGTTCTTTTTCTCATGCAGTATCGGAAAGTAGAGGCGAAGGTGTCTTTTCTCACCGAAGTTGAACACCTGGTCCAGAGAACAAGAGAATACACTGAAAAGACTAGAAAGAAGCTTCTGATGGAGCGAAATGCGATAATCGCTGCCCGCATGGGTTCATTGCCATCTAGGCCAAACCAGCCCGGTGCAGCCGGCAACAGATTACCAGCTGGATATGGAGGCCCCATCGTGAGACCACCACCAAACGCAATGCCCCGCCCTAGCAGCTGATCGAGCTGACCGTGGTGATCCGGACAACTAGTGCTCTATACCCCCATTCTTTAGAGGGATATCTCGAAAGCCATGAACTGTGTTGTAGTAGTACCATTCTTTTAGAAGCAGAGAATACTGTATGACGATCTGTTGTTACTGCATAAGAGCTTCTATAAAATTTTTCACGATTTTCACTTTGGATGTGCTGCTTTCCGGATCGTGCCGTGCCACCTTTTCGTTTTATGTGAATGGTGTGCATGTGGCTCTCTTGTTTTGCCCCTGCACAAGGCTGAGGCCATCTCTGCCCATCTCCGACGACACATTATTTTAGAGATAACGGAATGAAAATCCCAGCCTCTGCACCATTTACATTTTTTTATTCTCTTATAAATTTGATGGTTCAGAAAAACACCATTACAATTCACGTGATTGACCCAGTGCAATTACAATTTACATAATAACAATTTGCATAATAGTAGTTTGAAACATGCTAGTAGGCTACATTTTTTTATTCGTGTTGGACAAAAATACAGTCAAAACCAGTGCGATTAAAATTTGCATAGTAGTAATTTGAAACATGTTACTAGGCTACATTTTTTCTGGGGCAATTGTTTATTTGACCCGTTTTGAACTGTAACTGCCAATTTGACCCTACTTTTTAAAGTTTGTTTATTTGACCCTCCTTTTCAAAAACGAAGCTCCGGTCTGATCCTATTCTGTTTGGGTGAGTTAACGGTGTTAATTTTAGGGTAAATAGTCCATTTTGCCCTTGCTTATTTGACTCTGTTATATCTTGCTTGTTTGCTTGTTTGACCCTATTTTATTATACTGTGTATATATTCAAGAATGTTGAAATATTTGTAATAATTTTTGCTCAAGTTTGACAGATTTGTCATTAATTTGACAAGTTTGAATCATTTTGTCAAATTTGACTTAAATAAAATGTGACACAATTATGACATATTTGACAAATTTGATTCATTTTAACAGATTTGACTTAAAATTGTCAGAATTTTGACAAAATAAATTAGACAAAATTTGACAATTATAACATATTCAACATCATAACATCTAATTTTGACAAAAATTCGACAGCATAACATCTAATTTTGTGGATCCCAAACTGCATTCAATAAAGCATAAACATATAGCCAAGGTCGAGCTCGGGTTGAGGTTGAGGTCGAGGTCCACTGCAGCCTCTGGGGGATCCACCACCGCCACTACCTTCCTCCGCGAGCCGCCGCCGCCGCTCCTTCCCTTCACGGACGACCGCCGGCGCATATCCCGCAACCATCGCCCCTTCCCTTCACAGCCGGCCGCCGGCGCGGATCCCGCCGCCGCCGCTCCTTCCCTTCACGGACGGCCGCCGGCGCATATCCCGCAACTGCCGCCCCTTCCCTTCACAGCCGGCTGCCGGCGCGGATCCCACTGCCGCCGCCCTCTACCTCCACCAGCAGGCGCCGGCGGGGGTCGGCTTCAAGCCGCCGCCGCCCCCTCAGAGCGCCGCCGATGGACCCGCAGACGCCGCCGCCATTTCCTCAAACGCCGTTGTCGCAGGCCCGCAAGAACGAGAGAGAGAGAGAGAGAGCTGTGGATAGGATTCGAATGGATATGGTTTGGATGGATAGGGTTTGGACGAAGGGTACTTTGGGCATTAAGAATAATAATCACATTTCTTTTTTAAAAAAAAGAATCAATCCCTGACGAAGTAAGGGGGTCAGACGGGAGCTTCGATTCTGAAAAGGAGGGTCAAATAAGCAAACTCTAACAAACATAGTCTTAGAGTCTAAAACAGGCCAAATAAGCAACTGTACCTTTTTTTTATCTGTGTTGGACAAAAATGCTGTCAAAACCAGAGCAATTACAATTTGCATAGTAGTTTTTCGAAACACATTGCTAGGCTACATTTTTTTTAATCCGTGTTGGACAAAAATGCTGTCAAATTTATAATGGCGCGGATATGTGTGTATTGCGGTGCAGTTTTAAAAAATAACGAATATAAAACATCAAACAAAAGGAGACATCAAAACTGGAGTAATGTTTCAGTCTCATAATTATTGAAGTTTTGAACAATTATTGGCCTTATTTAGATCCTTCGCACTATTAAATAGCCCTCCGAAATCTTGTTATTTAGGATTATTAAACATAGATTACTGATAAAACCTATTCCATAACCCCTAGGTTATTTTGCGAGACGAATCTAACCATGTATATTAATCCATGGTTAGCGGACAATTATAGCATCACTGTAGCAAATCATGGATTAATATACCTCGTTAGATTCGTCTCGCAAAATAGCCCAAGGATTATAGAATAAGTTTCGTCAGTAATCTACGTTTAATACTCCTAAATAGTAAGATTCCAAATGGCTATTTAATAGCTCGGAGGATCTAACAGGGCCAATGACATGGTCTCCAGAGTGTGCCTGTTCGGCAGTCTGTTTTGTTTTGTGGTTGCGACGCAACCGACACCAACAGTGCCGCACGCAATGGAGCAGCCGTAGCCGCAATCCCTCCAAAATCTCTTATATTATGAGACGGAAGGAGTATATGCTATTCTAGGCCGTGTTTAGTTTCTCTCCTATTTCCAACTTTCCATCACATCAAAAACTTTCTTACACATATAAACTTACAATAATTTTTTTAAACTTTTAACTTTTTTTAAACTTTCAACTTTTTTCAGGAACTGAACACACCCCTAGTGTTTAAAGAATTATGGAACCAGAGTGTTTCAGAACTTCTCAACTTTGATGAGCTGCGTGTACCCCTAATTAGTGATTCATGACAGTCCCCCATGGTTTCTGGAGTAACTCCACACGCTGAACTCTGCGTTCACTCTCCCCCTCCCCTTTTTTACCGCACGGATCTCTCAACGGTCAAAAACTGCCACGTAGACATCCGGCCATCGAAGCGGACAAAAGCGCAAACAATTTGAACGCATACATTGGGTGGCCGGCCACACAGGCATGCGTGCGCCCCCCTTGTGTTTGGCAAATGGCTACCGGTCCACCCAATTACGTGCTCCCTGCCACACGGTCGCATCACAAGCCCCGCACCACCCACTTCTCCCCGACTACGTACACCCGTTCCTCCATGGACCGAGAGTCCGAGACTCACACATCCGCCTCGTCCCCGCCGGACCATATCGTGAGACCACTGGACCAGGTCTACGTCACGCTTCGTTCTGCTCAGCTCTGCAGGGATCGAGGCAGACACTCGTGCTTCCCATCTGCGAGCCACCGTTCCAGCGCACGCGCTAGCTTCCATATTGCTCTAACCGACATGTGGGGCCAGATCTCTCGGGCCCCACCGCGTCAGTGACTAAAGGGTCTAGGTGGGATGTGCCGTACCCCGGCACTGCACGCGCAGTACGCGCAATAACGCAGTTTGAACGGCCCCCCGGCAGGACGAAAGTACGGAAATGCCCCCCGGTCGATCCCCACTGACTACGCGGGCCCACGCGTGGCATTCCTCGTAGATAAGTAGAAACCACAGGGGTATTTCTCTCCCCTCACTTTCCCGCCTGAAACCCTCGCCGGCCTCAAACCCCTCCTCCCCACTGACTTCCGAGGAGGTCAGGACGAGCGCCACGGCCGCCAGCCCGCCGCCGAGCGACATCCCCTTCGGCCGCACGCCGCCCGCCACCAGCCGCACTACGCGCGCCGCCAGCCGTTCGGCGGCGACGAGCGGGTACCCCCGGCCCCGCGGGCGGAGGAGTTGAAGAGACCGAGGAGGCCGCCGGCGGAGCGGGAGCACGGAGCGGAAGGGGGAGAGGAAGAAGAGGGGTCGGATAGTAAGGTAATTTTTCTTATCATTTTATTGCTTGTTGGTTCATCAGGGGATTGGTTGGGGAAATTTTTTTTGGGAAATATTTTGGTATATATATATTTTTTCATTTTTTTTGGATGAAAATTTTTGATCGGAAATGGGAAAAGTTGGGTGATAAGACTGTGTTGTCTGTCTGCCCTGGGTGAAATCTTTTCACCTGTTGGAAAATGCTATTTATGCTCACTTTTCTCGCACTCTTTGATGTTTGACTTTTGTTTTCCTCTTTTGGACTAGGGTTTTAGCCTCTTTTGTTTCGAGGGGTTTTTACAGATTTTGCAGGAGTGGTGGTGGATGTGGAATGTTGGCTAGGTTTTAGATCGCTGAGGCTGATTTGTGGGTGCTGTTCCGTCAGGGCTTGAATTCGGAGGCGGCTCATGGTGGAAGGAATGGTGGTCGCTGTGGCAAATGGGACGAAGGTGGAAGCAGCACCGGCCGCCGGCGCCGGCGCCGCTGCCAACGCGGATTCCCCTACATCCGTTCTGGAGGATGAGGTGATTTATTTGTGAATAAATTTTTGTTTCCAGATCTCTCTATTTATGCTTTGTGCTTCCGCAGTTCGCGAAGTATTTCGGATTTTCTTTTTTTTTTGACGTTGAGCTTCTGTTCTTAGAAGATTTCTGAATGTAAGAATGGGGATGCCTCGGATACCGTGGAGGCAATTAAGCAAGAGGATGATCATCTCAAGGTGCTTGCTGAGGAGAGAGCTGATGATTTTGTGGATGCAAGTTCATCCCTGACTGTGGAACTTGCGGCCAACAACGGTGATTTGTCACCTCACCCTGTGCCGGTGAAGGAAGAAGACCAGTTATTGGAGCCTGTCAAGGAGGAAAAAGCTGATGATTTTGTGGATGCAACTTCATCTCTACCAATTGACCTTGAGGCCAAGAATGGTGATGCATCCCTCATCACTGATGCGATGAAGGAGGAGGAAGACAAGTTGCACGAGGCCCGGGTTAAGGCTGACGAAGAAGAGGAGGCACGGAAGAGGGCAGAAGCTGCAAGACTTGCTTTTGATCCAAATGCACGGTTTAACAAGTTGGACGAGCTGCTGACACAGACACAACTCTATTCAGAATTTCTACTTGAGAAGATGGAGACGATTGCTGATGTATGTATAACAGTCCACACGCACCCACGCCTCTTTTGGTTCTTCCTGAGTTTTATTTGATTTTCCTGTTGACGGTTGTGCTGTTGGCTAAGGTGGAGGGTGTTGACACCCCGGATGAAGAGGAGCCAGTAGAAGAGAAGAAGAAAGGGCGTGGGAGAAAGAGGAAAGCTACTTCTGCACCAAAATACAATAATGTGAGTTCTCGCTTCATACATCATTTTGTTTTCCTGTATTCTAAATTAATGGATTATGTAGATGCTGACTTT